GCCAGGCACCAAGACTTCTCCTTCTGGGGCACAGAATCAACACTCTCTGCACCTTCCTTGGGGCATTCCAAGAAAAGAAGTGAAGGTTGCAGAGATGGGTCCTCTGGCTGCAACAGCTGGCAGGTGGAAAGTAAATGTTGGCTGGAAAATGCTGGAGACAGCAGCTTTGAGCCCAACTCTGGGACACTTATGTGGGTTATCTGTTCATTCCAAACACACAGCTGCATTGTCAGATGATAAAGATGAAGGATCTCATCTTTGCAGGTCTTAAAATCTTCAGGAGTGTTGGAGTCTGGCCAAGTTCTGGGTTTGCCTACACCCTGAGCCTCTGGGCTTGGGTTGAAGTAACTGTTACTCTGGAAACTGGTCTGGCATGAGGCAACCAGGCTGCTCAGGCTGAGAGGGGTAGGGTGGAGGTTTTCAGACCCCACAGGGCTGAGAATCTCTTGCGGAGACTTTTCAAAACAAATTACTAATATCATCCCCCAGAGATTGTGATTCAGTGATTCTGGAGCAGGTCCTAGAATTTATAGTGTTAAAAGCAAAGTTTCTCTGTAAAATTTGATCATCTGGCATATTGGGGGTTCACTGAACATATGGGATGAAGTTTGTACCCAAATACTTTGTACCCCATGGTTATAATTTTGAGGGAAATCACTCTTTCTTTCTGAGCCTCATTTTTCCCATTTGTTAAAAAAAATCAGGATTTGAACTACACCAGGGGTTCACAGATGTGGGAATTGTGAACTGGGAGTTTTGCGTTTTTTTTAAACCTTGGGAACTGATATGAAGATACTAGAGCCCAGTCTTTATTTTGGCAGGTAAGGATATAAAACACAAACATACAAATAACTATTACTCTCTCCTTCCCCTCACACATATTCTTTCTCTCATAGTATAAGACCTTAAAAAAACCCTAAAAGTTAAATGCTAGAAATTAGCCAGATCCCAGTCTCAGAATGAAAGACCATCCTTTAAATGGGACATACTGGTTGTGGCCTTCTGCGCAGCTCACCCCACTGGATCCTGGCCCCATCGGGCTTGGACCAGTGACCACCGCACCCTGGACTAGCGGCAGGGAAGCCCCGGCCCGTGACTGCCAGGATGGCTTCTGACTCTGATTAGCAGTGATTTTCTAGACATTCCTGGTCCTTGTTTGCAATGTTCTTTCATGCCGGGACATCCTCCACTCTGCATTTCACAATGCCCTGGACAAGCTTAAATTCCATCTTCTTGGTGAACAGTACCCTCCACGCACCCTGCCCACCCCAGGCAGGCCCCATCTTGGACACCAGATATACCACCTGGTAGCCTATTGTAGAGCTTGGCCTGAGGCCCTTGTGCTGTGCTATCCACCCCTGTCACCAGATGACTACTCCTTGGGGGCAGGAGCTACCCCCTGACACATTTGTGCCCTAGTGCTGTGCATAGCAGATGTTAGGACAAAGGTCTGTGGGAAGTCCCCCTGCATCTGATGGTGCTTGTACGATCTAGAACTTTCCGACTCCACTCTCTCAATACCCTGGGATTTCTATTTGACACTTAGTTTAGGGCTCTCACTGAAGTGGCTCTGGCCCTGTCCTTCACTCATTCGCTGGGACTTCATTCACACATTGGGTGACACCGAAGCTAACAGCCTCTCACGGCCACACTAAAGGGAGAAAAGCTCCAGTCCTGTCATATGGCCCTTGACAGCATCCTGTCCCACCTCACTGAATACATCATACTCTTCCTGGGCTCAGAGGAGGCCTTTAGCATTCGAAGATCATGGCAGTGAATTGAGGATGCACGGCTAACTTAGACATCCTGAACCTAAACTTTGCCCCTCCTATGGGAGGCAGGGGACATCTGAGCCCTGAAGAGTCACCTATGAATGGGTGCTCCTTCCCTAAATGGCTTCTGGATTTTGTATTTTGGGAACCATTATAACCAAAATGCAGAATAACCAGTCCTGAAGAGGTGGGGAAGGAGTGGAGAGATGTGCTTGCTACTATGTGCTGAAAGATCCCAGTAAGCCATGAGAAAGAGAAGAAAAACAAACATCCTTGAACTGAAAGTGAGCTCTGATCTCAGAAGCAAAGAAAATAAAGAGTGGCCTGGGGTGGGGATGCTTTTCTATGCTGACGAAGAACCGAGTTTCTCATCTGAGTTGCCCAGGATGATGACTGACTGGGTGGGACCCCCAGATCTCAGCACTGATGACATTACCAGCACTCATGTCAAAAGACTCTGCAAGGTGAGCAGGGGCCCAGGCAGGTAAATGCAAGTGTGAGGTTAGGACAGGCCTCCTGGAGACTGCGCCTTACCCTGCATGCTGGGCAAGCAGCTGTCATGTAAACTAGACATAACACAATAACAGCTGATGGCAAGCGAGGGTGCCTCCACCCTGGTGGTCCTGGGGACTGTCCCAGGTGACTGGAAATGGCCAACTGACTTGCCCCAGCACAGAGCTCCTGTGCATGCCTGCTCCACATTTGCTGTGAGAACGTGGGCCAGGCCCATGCCCCTTGGATGCTCCAATGTCCTGGTCTATAGAAGAGTTGCATTGGCTCAGGAATCCTGTGTTCACAAGGGACTGTCTGTGGAGATCTACCACAATGTGATTTCCCTGAAAGCAGAGGCTGATCCAAGGACACGGGAGCACGTAGTTTATCTGGGAGACTGAGGCAGGGAAGCAGGGACAGCCATAAGAATGCATTATCAAGCCGGTCATTGTTGTGGGCTGTTAGGGCCCCATTGCCCCGGGGACAGTCCAAGAAACCACATGAATTGCACCTCAGAATGACCTTTCCAGAGTGAGGGAGGCTGGAGGCCTTTCACCTGTGGCCTCCATCCCCCACTGACTGAGGGTCACCGCGAGGGGAGTTAAGTCTCCTACACTTCTGGGCAGAAAAGCCTTCCAGGGCAGTGGAGAGAACCGTGAGGCCAAAGAGTGGAGAAACACTGTGATGGACACTTGAGGTGGGACTCTGGCCCCATGCACAGGACTGTACACTCTAGGGGCGCTGGAATCAGGGTAGTACCAAAGAAATGCAATGTGAACATGAAAAACATCTGCTTTCCAAAGCACAAAGAGAAGCAATCTGAACTTTCCTGGTTGGGGGGCACTGAAGCCCCCCTGTTTTATCCCTCTCTCCTCCTGGTAACTGGCAAGGCCCCTCCAGAATGCCCAGGGCTCTCAGAGAAGAAGTTTAAAAACACTATTGTGACATTTCTCTTAACCCATATCTCTGACTTTCTATGGTCCTCAGTCCTGAGATCATGAGCATCATCAGTATGAGCAGCACATCGATCAACATGACCCAAAGAGCCCATCAGAATGGGTGGAGTGCTCGGATGTTCCTCTCTGGATAAGGACTTGTCCTGTCAAGGCTGATGGATGTTTTCTAGGGAAAGGAAAATGTCCTGTCTTCTGAGTCCACTCCCCAATCTCCTCCCCCCACATACTTCCATTGTCTACCATTTTAATATAATTTAATTGGAAACTATCAAAATACTCAATGCTGCTGATTCTTTTATCTCTGTTTTCAGGAACCCATCAAGCCCTGTGCTGGGAATGAGTACAGTTGATGCATCCATCCTGCTGTTCACAGACACAGCCACTCCCAGCCATACCGGGAAGAGAAGGTGTCCAAGATCCCAGAAGAGGAATGCCCATGGCCCTTCTCGCTCCCACTCAAGTGTCTGAGAACCCCAATAATCAAAACAGCCTTCGGTCTTACCCAAATCCTTCTTTCTGTTGGCTAAAACCCTTCTTCCAGCTCCATTCTTAGTGCATACGATAAACAGCTTAAAATACAAGAGCAAGATGAAATGTGAAGAGAAAAAAACTTTCAGGGCATCAGAGAAATGGATTCTCCCCAGGGCTCTGTGGTCTGAGATGGGCTTTCTTTGTGCCTCAGTTTCCTTTTAGATAGAGCACTATTTTTCAAACTGTAGGTTGCAACCCATTAGGGGGTCATGACATCTATCTAGTGGGCTATGAAGCATTTTTTTCAATGAAATAGAATAGTAATGTTAAAGGGCATTGTGTGTGGTCAGGATAAATATCATATCGTCAAAATCTTCTTGTTTTATATTTACGTATGCATTTACTGAGTCACAAAGAAATTGTAATTTTTGCCGTGAATCATGGTCAAAACTTTCTAAGTCCCTGGACTGGAGGATTTCTAAGGTGCCTGTGATTGTTTCTTCAAATGGAAAAGGATATTCCGATAACATCCATGTGTCTTATACACTTGTGAGAATACACTGAGATGGTAAATATGAGAAGGCTCAGGAAGGAGGTCGTCTCCTTCTGCACCGACAGGCACTGCTTCCTTTGGATCCTGACACCCATCAAACACCAGAACCAGCACCAACCGACTGAGCAAGAGGAGTAGGTCTTAGATCCTATTTTAAAATCATTGCAATAATAATTTTCTACACATGGAAACTTCCAACATCTTTGGATGTTTGTACTCCTGGTTCCCAAATCAATTAGAAGTATCTAGTATGGAGGTGATAAAAAGAAGGGGCTTGATAAGCATATGCTACCTTAGTCTGTGAGTGGGGACTGCTTGGGTGATGAATAAATGAAAGGATAAGTCAATCAACTAATCAGTCAAGACATGAACGAATGCTGAAAGAGTATTCTTTTAGACTACTGTTAAATTACCCGGCCTCTGGACGCACCTTGGCAGGATGAGGCCCTGAGTCTTGCTGAAACCAACTTGCCACCTTGCCTCACTCTTTCCCCGCTTTGATCCTGCATAAACATGCACATCCAAATGACTTCATCCGTAATGTAAAATGTAGAGTGGTCCCAACGATGGGTATGATAATGAATTGCCTGGAACTAGCGTAGCCACGCATGCTCACCCACCCACCTGTGCATTCAGCACACGGACTGGACATGTGGCTCTGCGCTAGGCCTCCCAGAGGAAAATGATTCATCCCAGTCCTTGAGGGGTCACATGCAGATGGATGAAGGAGATAAGAAAGGAGTCATCACGTGGAACTGAGGAGAAGGAAACTAGGATTTATTGAGCACCTTTTCATGCCAGGCATGTCACATGCACACATACGCTCAATGCAATTTATTTCAGAGGCAGAATCCTGGAGGCACAAATTTGCCAATTCTGGCCAGTGCCCTAGCCAATTGTCCACCATCAGGAAAACATGGGAGTGGTCACCAGACCCCTTATTTTACAATTAAAGTGAGTGAAACCAACAGTGAGGAGCTTGAAGGAGTCCTATCCAAAGCTTAGAAGCCAAATTAACTCTCAGGGGTGCTTTCTCCATACCAGCTTCCCCATCTTTGGCCTAGACACAGGATTCCATGAAGCTTTGCCAACCCAAGTGCTATTATTTCACTTCTGTAAGCTTGAAACATCAAGGTGGCCACATTTGCTCCCAAAGGACCAACTGTGTCCTCTTTGTGTGCACTTTCCATCAGGAGGCACAAACATTCTTCATGTCTGCAAATTCTTTCTCTTCCTGCTTCACTTGTCTCTCCTGGGAAGTGGTGACTTCTGGATAGTTTCACCCTGGGTGACTTCTGGGCACGACCAATAATAGTAACTCTTTGCATTTTCTTAAAGTTTCCTTTTGAGGAAAGAGGTCAAGTTGGCAAGTGTCTGGTCAGTGTTTCATAGCACCAAGAGTTTTCTTAAAGGGGGCGGCTACACTTCAGATCGGGGCTGTCAGAAGAACCAAGAAAAACAATGCACTGTCCCACAAATCAAGTTTTCCCAACTTGAGAGGAGAGGGGAAAAATCTCACAAAGCATTATCATAGGAAATAATAATAATAATAATTAACAATAATAATAATATTAATAATAATCTGACCGACCGGCAGCATCTGTTGGTTTTAATAATTTTGAGGTCTCTCAAGAAAATAAACAAAAGCAAATGATAAAAGAAAGAAAAAACACATGGCTGAAGTGTTTCAAGACCTCTGGCTTCCCATCAGGCTCTGAGTTCAAGTTTCAGAAATCCACCGCCATCTCCTGGTGTTCCAGAATCTTCTAGGGGCCCTTCACATTACCAGGTCGGGCAGCGAGGTTGGCAAAGTAGGCACACTGAGAGGGGTCACACTGGCCAGGGGGTCCAGGTGGGCCAGGGGGCCCAGGATGTCCAGCTGGTCCTGTCTCCCCTTGAGGGCCGGGATGCCCAGGAAGCCCATCTTTAGCATAGCCAGGTTCCCCGGGTTGACCTGGCCCAAGGAGGAAAAGATACAGTAGTTGGTTGAAGGTCCTTCTGGAGAAAATGAGCCCTGCTTTCACTGCTTCCTTCAGTGTGAACAGAGGACTTGAAACATCCTCAGAGAGACTATCCCATGGTCTGCGGGCTCTGCCCTGAGTGATTAGAATGGTCCACTTGGACACTGGGTAGCAGGAGCACCTTAATCTACAGGAGAAGGGGTTGTCCTAACTGTTTGGACATATACAGTAATCAGAGTGCCATTGGAGGGAAGTAAACAAGGGCAGGCCAGGTAGGGAACGTGTTCTCCATAATGAGATGAATGAGAAACCAGGCCATCTATGTTCTTATAGGTTCTAGGAGATGCGTCTGAATTGGAAGTGGGAGGCCAAGTCCTCATCGTTAACCACGAGCCCCAATTCAACTGTCTTTAGAGGCAGCTAGTGACATTCCATTATTGTCCCAAATATTCTATAGTTTCTAAGCTTTATCTACATGTTAAATTTGAACCATATACTTGGACTACATTAATCTATTCTGCAATCGTAGTCAAAGACTTTGTAAGTAGGATGTGACTGACACTTAGATAGCCCCAAATTTAGACCCAGACAATATTACCTATAGACAAACTTCTACGCCTCCACCTATTAAGCATCATAATATCATGCATAATCAACCAATCTCTCTTTCTGTCTTGGCAACTGAGAAGCTCAGGGCTAAGTGCTGGAGTTAGTCCTACCAACGATAATGCTTCTTAAGTCTTGGCAATCACCATGTTAGAAAATCTGAGTCCCCTTATAAAATAAACAAATGTAGACTTTTCCCTTTAAAAGATCTTTAGACGTTTCATGAAGTCTAAGATTCACGAATGCTGTGGTAGTAGTTATTTTATCTATAGTCCTGCATAGACCGAGTTTTGAGACCAGCAGTGTTATTCCTTCCTTCATCTAGGAACCACTGGAGTAGGGTCACTATCTCAGCCTCATACCGGTGCAGTAGTTTGCCCCTTCTAAATGGTTTCTGTTCTGCCTTTTAATCTTTATTTGAAATTGCCTTACTTTAAAAATATTCTTAATAAGTTATTGGAAAGTAAGTAAACTGTCAAAAATAAATATTTATAATGTATTTCTAGTTATCTTCTCATGAGGATAACAATACATGTCCAAAGTAGGAAATTTAAAAAATCAAGAGGATACAAATACTAAAATTGAAATTATCTACAGGCCTGATATTAAGAAATGATCTCAGGTAACCATATCAACTAGAATTAAATAAAAATGGAAGCCTCAGTGAGGTGGAGTTTGCTAACAATTAGTCTAGTTTCTTCCACCCTCTACTTCTACACCTCATCTTGGGACGTCATACTGCTCCAATCTAGGGATCTTCCCATGCAGCCACTAGGTAGGATAACCAGCTTGTCCAGGTTTTTAAACTGGAGCCCCCTCAGCCCCAGACAAGCCAGGAGTGTTGGCCACTCTGCCTCTCGGCCAGCATTCCCCAAAATGCGTGCTAAGAAACAGGAATGGGGTATGAACAAGCGCATCGTGAAAGAAAAAGGGTTCCACCATCAAGTGAGTTTGGGAAATGCTGGCTTAAACAAAATAAACATTATTTTTTTACCCAAGGGGCCTCAGCACATGTAAGAAGTTAACATGCACTAGGAATGACTAAAATGGAGACCGGTTCCCAGGACTGTCCAGACTTATTTACCCCAAATTAGCTTTGGTCAGGACCATGTCATAGGATTTTTAATTCCCGGGATACTCTTCGAGAACTCATGGGATATACTGCAGTTTTCTTAGCACGTCAAGAAGCTGGCACTTTAGAAAGATTTAATGAAAACAAGTCAGTGTTCTTGTCTCCTCGTCAGTTAAACCTAATCCTTTCTCCCGGCTGTTCCTGAGCCTGTGGCGGTCCGGGAGGAGAGCCCCTGTGTGTTTCTCACCCATGGTGCAGGGCCACCCTCACCCTGAGGCTCCCACACCATGCCTACCTGGGATCCCAGGAGGCCCCATCTCGCCTCGGAGGCCAACTCCAGGTGCACCCGGGTCACCTTTGGCTCCTCGCTCCCCTGGGGAGAAAAACATGACCTTTGGTGGTGGAGACCCACGATGAGCGCAGAGACAGGGGTCCCACCCTGCAGGAGGGGCAAGGCCAGCACTGTGCTGCTGCAGCCTTTCCCTCAGAGCCACCCTTACTCACACACACGCCACAAGTGGACCCCTAATTCCTGTTCACACACTCACTCACATACACTGACACACACAAACACTCCCACGTAGAAATACACACGTGAACATCAAAATAAATGGACATTCCCTCCTAAACTCATATTCAAATACACAGATTTACTTGTAAATATTCACTCCAGTGCATAACTTCTCAATTACACACACACATATGCACACTCACACACATATTAGCAAATGTATGCATACACCCTTATACACACACACAGACACACTCAGACACAGGGCCCAAGTGCACACACCCACACACTCTCTCCATACGTACACACATGTTCACATACATCCACTCACACATGTCTACACTTCCCCAGTTTCTCAAAGCATTTTACCAGACCCTTTTTCAAGAAGGAACTGGGTGATGAGCAAATTTAGCACCCTAGGTCATACGGGCGTATACCTAAGACATGGCTCTACTCTCAGGAAGCCCGAAATCTAGTAAGATTGATGGAACAGGAGGGCACAGACAGCATTCGAATATGAAGCAGAATGTGATAAGTACCATGATAGGAATTTCACACCACAACAGATGTTCAGAGGAGAGAGGGTCCATTGCCTCTGGGAGGATAGTTAAGATTATATTGGAGCTAATACTGTACAGATTTGATTAAACTATCTCTCTCAACTTCTTTTTTTCATCATTCACTTTTTTTTTTGGCCACATTGTTTCCAGAATATCTCCGATATGCAATGTTATATTTTCTTTTGTAATCCAAATTGAAATTTTGCAAGTTCATAGAGACTGTAGACCATTCTTATTTATTTTTATAATTATTACATTTGGTCACTATTCTGTCACAGTCTGATGTTTTCCATACTTTATGCTTTCTTATGGCCATTTATTTCATGAATTTTGTTTTATGAAGCAATATAGGCAGGACTTACATATAAATTTAATAAAAAGTTCAGTAAGGACAAACATTGCAGGGAATAAATGAATGAATAAAGAATTCAGGAAGAGAAGACTGAAAGAAGATGTTAGGGTCTGCAATTTCCCTAACCCCAAGGCTCTAAGTGGAGATGAAGCCACACCCCGTGCTTCTTTGCCCAGCCCATGTTTATTTCTCACCAGAGAGAGGAGTGAATGACCAGCTTGGTGAGTATGGCTTCAGACCCTTCCTCGCTGTCACATCTGTCTGCCCGCAGAGAGAGTGCGATCTGACCTGCTGCGACCATGCATTAGGTGAAGTGGGACCAGCGCTGCCCAGGAGGAGAGACTCACCTGTCCAGACCACTATGTCCAGGTAAGGCACTCTCCCTGAGAGCTGGAGAGGTAGCAGCCATTTTTAGCTGCAGCTCCAAGCCACTTTTTCAAAAAAGCTGGTGTTTAATGCCCATTTACCTGGAGATTAACTGTCTCCCTCCTCAGTTAGTTCTAAGGTCAGAAGGGGGAAGGGGCTTTTTGTATCACTCCCTTGAACTTGAACAGTGGAGATGGAGAGAGAACAAGAGAGCAGGAGGGAACTGATCCAATCTTCCTGGCAGAAGCATAATTTTGCAAAAATGTCAAGTATGAAAACCTCTTATACATATGAAAAAATTATATGATGCCAAAATTCAGGATGTTACCAAGCTACAGGGATGAGAATGGAATAAATTATGCACATGCAGCTGGAGTGTGCGCCTCACACCCCAGCTCCTCAGCCTACCCGCAGTCTACGAAGCACATCTCGTCCAGGTCCTCACTCACCTTTCGGACCTATTGGTCCAGAGGGTCCTTCCAGACCCACCTGCCCGGGCCGTCCTGGCTCCCCCATCAGGCCTGCCCGGCCCGGAAGCCCATCTTTTCCAGGGGGTCCTGGGGGCCCAGGTCTGCCTTGAGATGCCTTCACATGCGCTGGGGGCATCTGGGCCAGGAGGTAGGCGAGTTTGGCTATGGAGCAGGAAAAATAGAGAGGCATTCCATGAAAGAGAGATAAAGGACAAAGGACAGGATGGCAACTCACGGCAAAGCTCAGAAATGGAAAGACATTAACAACCATAGAACAACACCAATATAAACTACACCAGCAGCACACCACTTAGCACGTGTGCAGACTTGTACGTGCCCCTTCTGCCTGGGGTCGGCCACAGGGGCTGACTCAGTTGATGGTAACTATCACTGCCTCTGGAGCCAGGCTGTTGGGCTGGGATCCCAGTGCAGCCACTGCCAGCTGTGCAGCCTTAGGCAGGCCACTTGACCTCTCTTAGCCTTCATTCCGTTTTCTATAAAAGGGAGGCAATGAAATAACAGCTACCCCATTGGGTTGTTGTGACAATGGAGTAATGAGATAATGAGATAAAGCATGCAAAAAAGTGCCTGGCACATGGTAAGTGCTCCGTGGATGCTGGCTGCTCCAATCACAGCAGGACTGACAGCAGTAATAGCAGCATCAGCATCAGCAGCAGTAGACGGACTTGTTGTTGTAGTAATTGAGTTGGGGAAACTGAGGCTGGGGGGGTTGGATTTAAGTGGCTTACACAAAGCTATTTAATGACTTATCTGAAAGTCAAATTCCTCATCTTTAAACCAAAGGGGTAGATATGATGTCATTAATGACCCTTATATGTCTAAAGTATTAAGATTACAGAATTGGTTAAAAAACCCAGAGGTCCAGTTGCTGGCTGCCACATCTTTCTATTGCACTGGGGATGCAGTGTCCATCCAATGGCCCACAAGAGCTGTCTTTGTTTGATATACAGTCACAGATAATCGGGCTAAGCCCCTCATCTCATAAATGATGTGACTGAGCCCAGAGAGACTGGGGTGCTACCCAAGTCCCCTGGGTTTCGGTGGTAAGACCAAGGCAGAGTCAGGGTCTTCTGAGTGTCCCAGTGATTTGCTCCCCTTCTTCTCACACAAGGTGGCAGGAGGATGTGGTGTAGCTCTGAGACCTGTGGAAACCCGCTTAACTTCTCTGAGTCTTGGTTTTCTCATCTTTAAAGCGGACTTGATGCTTCCTCCTCCAAAGGTTGTTTGGAAGAAAGGACTCAGCCCAACAGATGCTCCATCTGAACATGTTCAAGAGAGGTCTTGTCCCTGCTCTTGGGCTGGAAACTTCCCCAGGGCAGAGGCCATTTCTGTCACTGATAAATCTAACACCCAGAAGGCAGAATGTGGAGATCCCCAGACAGGAGACTTCAGGACAGACCCACCCAACGGCATCCACCATTTTAGCCTTTGGTTTTCTTCTTTTCATCACCTCCCTCCCTTTCTCACCCAAAACCCAACTCCTTGCCATCTGCTCCAGGTAATTCTCTTTGGTTCTCCTGTGAAAGGAGATGGAGCATGCTCTCCTGGACACTCCAAGAAGGCTGGGATGAGGGTTACCTTGTTCAATGCTGCATCCCCATACCCAACTCAGAGTCTGACACGTGGTAGGTGCAAGATAACTGTCTGAGACATGACCACATAAACAACTGTGCCCTCCCCTTTGGTCCATCTGTGCCTAGGAATAGTCATAGATTTCTCATCTTCCTTGCCATGGGGTTATCTGTGCCTTTCTTCTCCTAACAGTTTCCATCACCGAGGGAAGTGGGAACATGGTGGTTAAGAGCAAGGATTCTGCAGCAAGGCTGCCTGCTTGTAACCCTGGTCAGACACTTCTTCGGCCTCCAGTGAGTTACTTAGCATCTCTGCTCTTAACAATTGTAGGCGCCCCATGAGATGGGTGGGATGCTTCCTCGAGTTAACATGTGCAAGTGCTCAGAACTCCACCTGACATACGGCAAGCCCTACAAGCTGTCATTATTACTATTACCTGCCTGCCCTTCTCCCTCCCTGAGCATCTGCCATGTACCAGGCTCATGCAAGACTGTGAGATTTGACAATAACTCCAATGCAGTAGGATTAAAGAGGGTTCTAGTTCCTTGAAAGCATTGTGTGTGCCTGCTCCCCACAGGGTCTTCGCACATGCTGTCCCAAAGGACTGAGGTCTCCTGCCTTCTTTCGGCTTTCATGGCCCCTCCTCCAAGAAGCCTTCCCTCATCTGTTCCCTGCCCTCTGAGCTACCTTAGGAACTGTCATCTGTCCTCTTTCGATGCCCTCTGTGCCAAATTAAATCACAGACCTTTTCTTATTGTACTGAAGCCATCTTATCTGTTTCCTTATCCACCTCTTCCCCTGGACTGTGAGTTCTGTGAGGCCCACTGCAGGCCTACCAAAATTGCTTGTTGGTTAGATAAGTGATTGAACGCACAGAATAAATGACTGATCATGGGAGAGCTGGTTCTGTTGATGGTGAGCTGCCCCTACTAGAAGTAATCAAATAGGAGTAATTCAAGCTTCACCACAGAGAAGTTTGGAGAGGGGTCTGTTGTCAGGAAGGCTGGCTGGAGCCTGCACGGTACCCCTTAATCCTGATTTCTATACCTGAGCTGCTCTTTGGGCGCCTTCCCTAAACTGAGTTGCAGAAGTACCAATGGATGAATAAAAGGACTGCTTCCCAGGCTCTTAAAAGCACCCAGGCCCACATATGACTGGCTATGATAAAGTCCAGCTACTCACTTTCCAGCTGTTTGCTGAGTTCTTCTTGGATGAGCCTCCGGAGAGTGTCCAGCGATGGAGATTCCCCCTAGGAGGAAGGGAAGGTGGAGTTATTTATCTTCCCAGTAACTCTCACCGCCCAAGATCCCTGATGGCTCAGGAAGCCAAGAGGCTCACAGGCAATACCAACCATATGTTCGTACCCCATTTTCCTAGTCCAGTCCATTACACATCTGGACTCACCTTCCCCTTACTCTGTCACCGAGGCAGCATCATCCCATTTTATGTAGCGACCTAGACTTCAGGCTCTCTGAGGCCCCTTCTGCCCCTCCCTCCACACCCTTCCCACTCTTTAGCTGTTACTCCTCCTGCACAAACCATTTTCCGAGGACTGGACCTGGGCTGTCTGCCCCCGAATCTCCCCCTGCCAAAGTCCTGTCAACCTTCAGGGCTCAGCTCACAGGATCAGATTTCATTTGGCTGTTCTGGTTCCCAGGGTCTGGTTTTCCCTGCTGTGTTCTCCTTGGCCCTACACCGGTGTCTGATACAGTCCTGGAGCTTGGTTTGGAGACGCTGATGGATCTGTGGGTCAGAGAAGCAGAGTGCTGCCTCCAGGCTCACACAGTGACATATGACTCTTAGAAGAATCTATGAAAGCGGTTGCACATCATATTGGCTCATCCCTTGTTGTCTGAGTCCTTCAGGGCGGTGTCCAGTCCCCAAGAGTGAAGGTCTTTCTGTGCTCAACTCTGCAGCCCCAGCATCCGGCATGTGGCCCAGCATGAGATGGATTCCATTCCCTTATTCTCTTTATTTTTCTAGTCAGTAATCTTTAATGATAGTCCCAGAATGTCCATTGCTACCCACAGCAGCAGGACTACGAGGACTTAGCAAGGACCCAAGGGGCCTTTGGAAGCCCACCAAGTCCTCCAGCCCCCTTCCCTGAACTTGGCAGAGAGACAGGCTCTGGCTGCCCAGCCTCTCTCAGGATGGCTGAAACTCAAGCCACCAGGAAGTGACAGACTGCAGAACATCAAAGCTGGCAGGGACCCTGGAGATCCCCTAAGCCCATGGTATGAGGACAGTGAGTGTCCCCAGAGGACATGTGGCCTGCTGAGAGGAGAAAGGGAGGGCCATATGGACTGGGCAACCCTCCCCCAGCAACACTTCCACCAGGACCAATCTTTATCTTCCTATAGCCAATGTTACAAGTTTGCGTAAAATAAGAGTTCTGCCACTAGAATAAAATTTGGTCAAAGGAAAAAATAACCCTGGTCTAAACAAGCCTTTCCTTTTCATTTGGGAAAAACAAGACCCAGAGAGAAGAGCGAGTACCCTGGGTGGGCAGGGAGAAGAGAAGCAAAGCCAGGCATCGAACTGATGGCGAGACGTCCCGAGGAGAAGCTGAGATTGCAGAGCTGGCTGCGTCTTCTCAGGTGCCCTTTGCACAGGGTTCTGGGGCAGAAGAGCTCTGCAGTCTAAGGAAGGAGGATTCCTTACACTGGGACAGGAGGTGGAACAGGAAAGGGATCTACTCTTGAGCACTTCTTAAGTTACGTGTGTTATTTCACTTCATCATCAAACAAACCTGTTAGGAGAAGATATCCTTACACTTTTTGGCAGATACGGAAGGGCAGGCTCAGAGAGGGGAAGTAACCTGCCGCAGGTCACACAGGTTACTGGGATCTATAATCTGGCCCCTCTGAAGGCCAAGCATGTCCCCTGAGGCCCAGAGGAGCCCCAAGTTTGAGGCAACACCATCATCCTTACCCTCAGTCCTGGAAATCCTGGCTGGCCTGGAGGCCCCGGGGGTCCAGCTGGTCCGTTCTCTCCAGGTGGTCCTTGGGGGCCCGTCAGGCCTGTGTGGCCTTTGTGGCCTGGAATCCCAGGGTCCCCTGGCTGACCCTTCCCACCAGGAGCTCCCTTGTCACCTTTGACCCCGGGATCTCCCTAGAAGAGGAAGGAGGCGTGTCAGTAAGCAGAGGACTGGAAGGTGCACCAGGGCAGACAGGTCTGCTGCAGCCGCAGGAGCGGGCCCCCACTTCCCTGCCTCCTGGGCCCTGGAGTGGAGACCTCAGTCCTGGCAGATGTGTGTCTCAGAGCTGGTTGTCAGACGAGGACATGGGACCCAGAGAGACAAAGCCACCTGCCCAAGGTCACACAGGCAATCTGCAGAGGACAAGAACTCCATTTCCAAATCCCTATCCCATGCTCCACCTAGTAGCACGACTCCATTCGCCACCTAGAGAAGGCCAGCCACCAAGACTGCCTGCCGGAGCTGCTGGCCCCTTTCGACCCCAGGGTGCTCTCTGTCAACTGGAGGGACAGTGGCATTCTTTAGACAGTAGCGTCTCACTCACAGGTAATCTCCCACTCCCTTCTCTCAGCTTGAGCGGGTCCATAGAGGATGACACTGCCTGGAACCCTTTTCTCCCCATCACTGATGCAAAGTTTAAAGTCCCGGATCAGTGCTTTGGGAACCACGGCAACCACAGGACCATCCAGTCTTCTGCCCTATGTGCTACTGTGTGTCTGACACAGTTGTCGGTGGGTCTGAAAATATGGTGGCCACATTAACAGCCTCGGGGTGTAACAAGGGCATGTAGCAGAGAGAGGGGAGAACAAGGAGAAAAAGAAGAGAAACAGACGGTAACTGGAAAGGTGGCGTCACTACGGCGTGACCCACAGCCCCGGAAAAGGAGGACTGTCTGGTTACGAGACATCTCCCACATGTGTGCTTAGAGGAAAAACAAAAGGAGCAAATAATGGATCAAATCTGACAGATTCTGGGGTCAATAAAAGGTGTGTGCATATTGATAACACACACACACACCCACCCGGTTCTGCATGCACAAACTCTGGAAAGATAAAAAGCAAATGCACAGTGAGGGACCCTGGGAAGCGGATGAGGACTAAACGACACGGTGGAAGGGTGCCTCCTTACTGTTGCATTCACGTTTTTCGCAATTTGCATTGTTTAACTATGTGTCTGTCTTGCTTTTACAACAACAACAACAACAAAAACCAGCAGTGAATTATTTAAAAAGTGAATGTAGCCAAATTCGAGGGGAGGTCATTTCAATTTCTCAGGTGTGACGCATTTCATGAGGTCATGGTCATCCATGCGTGGTCTTAGGTTCCAGGGCCAGTTAGGGTCCTGGTGGTCCGAGCCCCTGCATGCGAGGCCCCATCACATCTGTGGTCCAGCATTTCCTATTCATTAAACATCCCAGTATCCCTTTGCGGTGAGAGGACCCAGCCATATTTCAAATGTTCCCAGGAGTGCAAAGGAATGGGGAGCCTGACCGCTCCCTGGCAGTGTTCCACAAAACCACTTAACCAGCGAAGTCTGCTCTCCATTTATTGATGAGGTCTGAGATAAATTCATATTTGTGCTCTAATTCCCTGGCACCCAACCAAAATTCAAAACACCCCCACAGCAATAGCTCCCGGGGGCACTCGTGTGAGTGTGACACTAGCGTGGGGTACCTCAATTCCTTCTTCCTTGGCTCCATCCTCAGGAAACAACAGCCACAGGACAGAGGAATCAAAGCCACTCAGCAGGAAGCGGGGAGAGAGATGCAGAGGGGCTGAGAGTCCCTGACACTCTCTGCTTCCACTTTTCTGTCTCCTCTGGCCTGTGAGAGAAACTGGCTCCACACCCCTCCAGCTTGCAAGGAAAGCCGAGATAAATTCTCTCCAGGACCACAGAAAACAAGCCGGGGGTGGGATGTGGGGTGGCGGTGACATCCATGTTGTGCAACAGTGTGACAGAGTGATGGTTGACCAAATGGAGGACTGTGGGCAAACGAGACGTTTCATTCCTCCAAAGACAGTGGCCCCGTCATCACGAGAGTGAGAATGCTCCCCTCCCCCCACTGGCGTTTCTGCCAAAAATAATGATTTTTCCCTTGTTGTTTTTTTGGAGGAATGAAATGTAAAGAAAGGCTTTCTGAGTGTGGCGCCAAGGCAATTCATTATGGGAAAATCTGTTCCCTTGTCACCTCCAGCAAGAAATATGGCTCCCGGCAAATTGGCACTCTCTGAGCTGAGCCCGTCCTGCTCAGGCGTTGGCCCATGGAGAGAGGGAAACCTGTCAAAGTCTCGGAACACTTGCCTTTGAATTTGTAATTGCAATGATTTTACTCCTTAAAATAACTGAAAAAAAAAAAGGAAAAAAAACAACAACATTGACTACGATAATATCGGAGGGAAAAGAGCCTCCCTTTGTGGGGCTCATGAACACAGAAGCCACCGCACCAGCCAGCTCTCCAGGCCTCGCTGGTCACTGACCACTTTGGACAAAGTCCCCTGGCCACCGTGAGAAGGTCACATTCCCTGACCACTTCCCTCACTTACCCTTTCTCCTTTGGGTCCTGCTTCTCCGGGCCTCCCAGGAACACCCTGCAATGAGATCCAAGGGAGGATGGTCATTGAACCACGGCCACTCCACCTGTGCTGGCATCTTTGCCTTTCCCAGTTCTTCCACATGATCCTGTGTGCTGAGGACAAGGGATCTCGAGAAATCAGGTCCTCCAAGAGCTCCTCGCTACTGGTCCAGACATTGCGGGCATTGGTCTCCTTCTCTCCACTCCTCCAAGGCCCACCCTGGACCAAGGGCGTCAACCCATGGGTGGGCCCTCCAGGATTCCTCCTCCACCACTCTCAGAATAAATCCCACTCCCCTTCACACACCAGGAGACCCTGCATGGATTGGTCTTCCATAAGCTCTCATTGTCCCTGCCGCTCTGGCTGGCTCTACTCCCGCCAAACCGAATGACTTATATGACTCGCTGATGCAGGGAGCATGTGGTTCTGCTGTTCCATGGTCTCTGCTGGTTGTCTTCCCTCTGCCTGTAGCAGGCCCCCCATTGGTTATGGACTGCGTGTTTGTGGTCCCCCGAAATTCATATGTTGAAGCCGTAGCCCCTATTGTGATGGTATTGGGAGGTGGGGTCTTTGGGAGGTAATTAGGTTTAGATAAGGTCATAAGGGTGTCACCTCATGATGGGATCAGGGAGGGTAGGCCTGAAGACAAGGTTGCCACTAGGGCAACTAAAGAAAGAAAGAAGGGAATCTGCAGGCATCTTGATCTTGAACTTCTCAGGCCCCAGAACTGTGAGAAATACATGTCTGTTGTCTCAGCTACTCAGTCTGTGTAATTTTATAGCAGCTGAGCTGACTAAGACACTGTCCTTCTGTCTGGATCACCAACTCCCACCTGGCCTTCAGGCCTCCCCTCCTGGAAGCCCTCCCAGACCACCCAACACTTAGGTAGGGGTCCTCTACTGTTCCCACAGCCCCTCCTGGAAGGCAGCCACGTTGGGGCCAGGGACACAGCCCTGCAGTCCCCACTGCTATGACACGTCCCTGCTTCTCGGATCCTCTCCACCTGGAATGTCTCTTTATTCCTCTTTGCCCCGGCCGCTCTGCCACCTCCCATGCAAATTTTGGCCAATCCCTCTGGCCAGTGTTCATCCTCACACATGTATTACTTTGCCACTGGCTGACACCCAACTTCCTTTCTCTCCAGATGAGATGACAGTGGGTTCTTGTCTGCCTCCCTCTTAGACCACAAGCATTTGGAAAGTAGGGCCTGTGCGTATTCACCTCCCAACTCACTCTGCTCTCATCCCCAGCCTTGCTCTGCGCTTAGCAGGTGTTCAGAAAATACAAACTGCAGAGCTTGGAATGTGGGATCCATCAGCCGAGGGCTCATGTCCCACCTCCTGCTCCATTGACAGAAGGATTCTCTAGAGGAGAAAGTCAAGAGAGCAAATCCTCTCCAACCCTTCTGAGCTGGGGCTGAATCTGTCATTTCAGTCCCAGCTCCACTCAGGGCATCCACTTGATGCAGGGGCCACACTCGGCTCTGTGACCTCAGCAGAGGGGAGGCATGAGGCACGGCCCTTGTTTTCATGGGCTCACAGCCTGGCTAAGAGGCCGATGTGGGCATGACAAATTCTTATACAAGGCAGACAGGTCTATTTCTGTAATAGAAGTACCGAAAGTTGGTTTGGGAGCCCTGGGAGAAAGTGCATGATTCTCCGTGTTAGGAAGCACAGAACCTTGAAGGACAGATAAGATTTAACAGAGCAGAGGCACTAGGGAAAGACCCACCAGGTGGATGGAAAAGTGAGGACCAAGCCTTGTTGATGGGAACCGGGGACATGGTGTGCACAGGGCAGCAGGACACAGAAGCTCACTTTAGAAAGAGAAAGTGGGGTCCGATTGGGGAAGACCTGGGTACCTGCTCAGAGGCTGCACTTTAGCTGATAGGAAACTGGGAGCCAGAGAGTGTAGGCAGCAGTCCTCAGAAGCGAAATCTGGTAGTCTTTCCCTCCACTCAACCCAGTGAGCAGGAGGAAACAGTGACTGATCAATGAGTGAGCAATATGCCCCGTGAGTGGAAAACATGGCTGGGGCAGAGGGCAATGCTTCCCAGATATGAAGACATTTGATCTGGCTTCACGGAAGTCAGCCTCTACCCTCCCCCAGTTAAGAAAGTAACCCAAAGTCACAGAGTGAAAATGGTGCTTACTCATTCAAGAGGGAGTGTGTGGACTTTGAAATGGATAAGCGGATTACCATAGAATTCCTTTCTCGGCATTCATTCATTCTTTTACTCATTTCTCATGAAATATTTTTGGTACCTACTCTGTGCTGGGCTCGTGGGCTTGGGCAGAACAGAGCAGGGTGATAAGACAGAGGATAATGGGGTATCTTCTTTGATTTGGGTGGTCAAGGAAAGTAGACAAAGGCAACATTTCAGCACAGACCTCAGGATGAGTAGGACTGGGCTTGGGAAGGGGTGGGGAATGAGGGTATGGGCTTTGTGAAAAGAGAGCCCGTGGGAAAGAACTCGGCAAATTTCAGGAACTAAAAGGCCAGAGGGACCAGAGCTTAGAGAAGAAGAGGTAGTGAGCTGGGTCGGAGCATCTGGACTTCACTGAGAGTGCCAGGGCAGGACAGAGCTGGGGTCTGAACTGGAAATGACATGATCTCACGTGTGTTCTACAAACAGAACATGAGAACCCATCTGGCTGCTGGGCAGAGAAGGACTATAGAGGGGCAAGGTTGTGCACAAGGAAACTGGTTACGAGGTCACTGCAATCATCCAGGTGAAAGATGATGACAGACCAGATTAGGGTCCTAGTGGTAGAGATGGAGAGTTGGACAGAGCTGGGAGGTACTGTGAAGTCAGCATTGTCAGCTTTTGTCAATGGATGGGATACAGAGAGATAGGTAAGTGAAAAAGATATATCAAGATGGTACCCCTGGACTGGCTATATGATTTGTGGGCCCCATGCAAAATTAAGATGTGGACCCTTGTTCAGAAGGGATTAAGGCCTTTAAGGCAGTGACAGCAGAACACTGAAGTAAGTGCGGGAGCCCTGCTAAGCGCAGGGCCCCATGAGATTGCACATGTTGCCCACCCATGAAGCTGGCCCTGTGTCTCCCACAGGAAAGGGTCACCAAGGGGAGAAGAGTGCGTGATACTTGCCTCCTTGCCTGGGACTCCTTTCTCTCCTGGCTCTCCCTAGGAAACAACAAACAAAATATCAGTTGACTCTGCAACATCAGCATATTGCAAGTAACATGACTGTTTTCAAAGCAGATATTTTTACTCAAGTCATGTTCCAGCAAAGACAACAATCAATGGTTCAGCCAACCAACGCCATCCCAAACAGGGTTCTTTGGTCCTTGGTCAGTCTGTGTAAAGGAAAGCAAAAAAAGAGTCCCAGGATGGGAAGGGTTGCCATGGGTTCTGGGCTCCTCATTTCTGGGATGGCTGTGACTCCCCCAAGAGGGCCTCTGGGATATCACTTTGACAAATCATCTAATTGTGGTAGGAAGGCCTCTCTGAGAAGCACGCACACAGTGTGTGATATAACACACCAGTAAAACTCTGGGCTCTGGAGTCAGCCTGTCTGGTTCAAATCTTGGCTTCTCCACTTACTGGCTCTGTGCCTCAGTTTCTTCCTCAGTAAAATAGGAATGGTAGCTGTACCTTGCCGACAAATGATCTGCTATTACTGTGAGTAAAGGAATAATTGTTGCAATGAGTCTAGAAGAGTAGGTACCTGGTAGCTCCATGGCAGCCAGGTTATTAATAATGGGATGGAGGAAGCGGCGGGGGCCTTTAACAGTTGGGCAACTGAATGAACAAGATCAAGTAAAGATCAGTGGACAGAGCCATGTTAGGGTGAAAGGGGTCATGTCGAGTGGCTGGGCTGGGCTGGCAGTGGGGCACCCTCGGAGTCAGAATTAAACTGGAGGCGGATGGACAGGAACATGGGAAAGTTTCTACTCTCGCATGTTACATACCACCCTCATTCAATGGTCAGCAGCCCAGGGTGTGGACTGTAGCATGCAGAATGCACCAAGGGGCTTGGTTGGAAATATCTGAATCCCGCAGCATTCCTCTGCCCAGAAACCTGGCAAAGATCACCCTACAGCTTCTCTGAATCATGCTGTCAAGTGAGGAGACCTAGACTCCAGAGCCAGCTGGAGCACAGACTGACCATGCAACCTTGAATAAACCACCTACATGTTCTGCTCCTACAACCCAAACTTGCTCATCTGTAATATGATTTTGAAGGGTCCCTGAAGTTCTTAGGATCATTATCACCACCAATACCCGACCACGGCCATCATTCAATTATTTTATATTTCTTGATCACCTGCAATGGGCTGGGCACCATTGCCAGTCCCTTTACATAAATCATCTCACCTAGTTCTCAGAGGAAAGTGCTGCTTTATACCCATTAGAATAATGAAGGAGCTAAGGCACAGAGGTTATAAGACTTTCCCAAGACCTCTGGATCAGAAAGCAGTGGGGCTGAGTCTCCCACGCAGGTGTGACATCTGGTTCACATTGTAGCCAGTGCACTCCACTGTCTCCCAAACCATGATGCAACTTTGACCACACACCAGCCCACTGTAATCTGAGCAGATGGACCTGAGGACACAGGAGGCGGCAGGAAATGTACTGAAGGGGAATCTCACATCTAGAGTCAGTCATCTTGGCCCCCATCAGAGCGTCTGCTTACCGAAGGACCACGGGGACCCAGGAAGCCGGGGAGCCCTGGGCTGCCATTTTCTCCTTTGTTTCCCTTCTGGCCCTGCAGAGAGAAAACAAGGAATTAATTCTTCAAGGTCAAGTGCCACCTCAAGAAGATTCAGAAACCTCATAACCCTTCTGTACTCTGAAGGCCTGAGACATCAACAAAATAGAATACCTCTTTCCTGTAATGGAGGGGAAGAGGATAGGGAGAGACTCAGGGTATTCTGAATCCTGATAGCGCTGTCATGGAGTTGGAGAGCAAGACGAGAATCTCCCTGTAAACCATTGATGGCCTTTCCATTCAAAGCAACAGAAACAAAATGGGACAGATAAAAAACACCCCGGTGTGTGTGCCCCTCAATTAGCCCTCCAGTAAAGCAGCAGACTTCTTCCCAATAGGACACTGGGGCTCATGGTTTGGTAGGATCACTTTTTTGAAAAAAGCCTTGGGGAATCTTTCAGCTCCAACCTTTCTGGGATGCCACCATATGTGGTTCAGCTCTTCTGGGACCAGCTCTGCATGGGGAGTGAATCCAGCCACATGACCCAATCCCATCCCATCTGCTCGGTCTCCCCAGCAGTGACAAGCCTCATACCATGGCTCCCAAGGAACTCATTACATTAGCTAAGGAGCTAGACTCCTTTGGCACAGCTGGCCCTGGCCCAACAGGAAGATGGGTCTCCACTAGGATCACCAAATGCTCAGTTTGCCTGGGAATGATGGGTTTCCTAGGATCTAGGATTTTCAGTGCTGAAACCAGGAAGATTCCTGGCAAACCAGGATGGGCTAGTCACCCTAACTTCCACAGTGACAACAGTTAGTTGGCCGGACTAGTCTGCCATTGCCTACTGCAATTGTTGCTTGACTATCACACATGAGGGTGGTCTTCTCAATGGGGCTGCCAACTTTACCAAATAAAGATACAAGAAGGCTCAGGTGGGAGGAGACTAGTGGACAGGCTTTGACCTACCCAACCCTAGAATCCATCAGAGACCCATCTTCCCCACCTCATCTCCCCATTTAGCAGACCTGAAACCCAAATCCTGAATCCTCTATCCAGTGCCCATGACTTTACTGACTACTCATGGCTCCCTCTTTCTACTACCTATCCATTCTTCCTTCTCACTCTCCCCATCCCCCACCTCTCAACCTGCAGTAGGACCCTCTCAGATAAATCTGTACTATACCCATTTCCCATGTTGCACAGTTACCCTATCATCTGAGATGGGAAAAGTTGGTGGGCCTGACCCTGTCCTTCCACCCTCTAAAAATATCAAGCAACTACCATGCAACCTTATTATATATATTTTTTTGGTCTTTAATAGTTTTGTCCCTTTGGGTGCCTATCGTTGTGGACAAGAGAGCCAAGTACGTGATCATATGTATTTCAAACTCCGGAAGAAAAGTCTTTCCTGGATCCTCTTGCCTCCAGGCAATTTCTACCATTCAAACCCCATATTTTCCCACCAGTGCCTTGAGGGCTGGAGATCAGACAACTTGTGATATGAGCCAAATCCCCTTTCAAATCTTGCCTGATTGCACCCTGCAGCTGTGGAAGAGTACTCACTGGGCTTCCTGGGGTTCCAGGGTCCCCTGGAGATCCAGGTGATCCATTCTTACCCTGGTGGAAGAAACACAAGTAACAATTCTGCCAGGACTCTCTGCCAGAGTGTCACAGAGCAGGATGGTGGAACAGAGAGATTGCCAGACGTGGAGAACTTGATTCACATCTAGGACTGTTACTTGGATCAGTACGGCTCTCAGTAAACCACTTCATTACTCAAAAGAGGTTTTGCAACTTGTAAAAGAAGCTCATAATATTTAATTCATAATACTGTTGTGAAATTAAATTAGTCCACGTCTATGAAAAAGCCTAGCCAGATGATTGCTGCCCACAGCACAGGCACAGTAAACAATCAAGACCACATTCATTCATTCATCCATTCATCCTTCCACTCAGACACCATCTTAGAGAACAAACAAACCATCCAACACAAAAGTGCTCACGTCACTGCAGCGCTGTTCTCAGCCAAGAATGTGTCCTTGTGCTGATCTCATGTTACTCTTCCACTAGGGGCATCATTATATTGAATAGATGAGGATACTGAGATGGAGGAAAAGTAGCTTGCACGGAGTCATGCGGCTACTAAATGGAAGGTCTATTCACTCCAGGATCCAGGACTGACCCTCACAATTCCAACACTCTCTAACTTGATGAATATTTTGTGCACATTCGTAATTTTGATAAACACATTTAACCAATAAGATCCCTGCTGGCACAGAAAATCAGAAAGTTCAACAATTCACCTAGCTACCATCTTTGAGAATCAAACAAATTCCTAGTAAGCCTAAAATTCCCAGCTCAACTCCACCAGGCTGAGTTGGTCACTTCCTCTGCCCACCACTTTCCTCCCTCTCAGGACTTTCTGCCACTGGCTGTGTCTTTACCTGGCTCTCTTCCCCACCAGGAGTAACCCAAAGGATAGTCTGTGCCTAGCTTCTCTCTATATGCCCAGCATCGAGCACAATGCCAGATAGAGGGGAGGCTCTGTGCTAGATGAATGAACCAAGAACATCATAGGAAACCACTCTCCATTGATCTTTAACCAAAAGATGCTAATGCCCTATAATCTGTGAAGCATGCATTCACAAATACGCCAACTTTGTGGACACACATGACAGTAAGAAGAAGCTAATACTGCCCAGGCACTTCCTACATGCCAGGTTTCATATGCATTAACTCACTTATTGCTCACAGCAGACATAAACACCACCATTTTACAAATGGGGAAGCTGAGGCACAGAAATGCTAAGCAAGCTGCCTGGGACAGAAGTAGAGGAGCTGAGGTTTGAACCCAGGTGGCACTGACCCCATCTCATGCTAGCCCACCCTCATTAAAGCTGTGGCTTGTTGGTTAGTGATCACAAATAGGGCTTCTACCTTGTGCCTCAAAAGTGCATGTGTGGTCATGGGTGACTCATGTGCCTCACCTCAATGGATCCTGCCAGGAATCATGTAGGGTAGATGTCTTTATCCCCATGTTACAGATGAGGAAACTGAGGCACAGAGCAAGCACAGGACCTGCACAGGATCTCCGAGCCTGCAAGCGTTGATACCAAGGAGCCAGCTGGTATCCGACTGCTCCCAGCTCCTCCCTTCCAGGGAAGGCTGCACCATGGCTCCTCCCTGTACCTCCCTCCACCCACCCACTAACCCATCTGTGTCCCTCTAAAAATATGCACCTTGGCTCATCCCTATGGTAATTATATCTCTCCTCCTTCTCCCTCTGGTCCTCTCTGTTTTCAGGGAGGATAAGGGCCAAGACACATTAGCACACGGTGCCAACACAGGCGGATGTGCACAGAAGGAGGGGGGGCTCTGGGTGGCCACCTGTCACCTGTCAGGGTGCTGGAGGCTGATTGGGGCTGGGACCTGGCCCCCACCTGGGCTTCTAGCCACTCCTCCGTCCCCCTTGTCTTCATGGAACCCCTTGGTCTCTGTGACTCTCAGGAATGAAGGCCACACTCCCCGCCCCCATGGCTCTGAGCTCCAAATCCCTGCTCCAAGCCCCTCTCCCACCAAGGGGGATTGTTCTGAGAAGGAAATTTAGCACACACAGGCCCAGGGAAGTGCTTAAGCTGCAGACTCTTGAACCAGACTGCTTGAGTCCAAATCCTGGCTCTGTCACTTACTCGCTGTGTGAGCTTGGGCAAGTTACTTAACCTCTTTGTGCCTCCACTTCTCATCTGTGAACTAGGACACAACAGCACGTGCCTCACACGATTTGGGGAGAACTCAGTGTGTGGATTATGCCAATGCCAGCGCAGTCCCTCGGACTGGACTCTGCCGATATTTCCTGGAAGCACCTCATATATGTCCCGTGTCGGGTTCAAGGTCATGTGAACCTGCGGAGGTTGCTGGGACCTTCTCTTCACTCGGGAAAGCACCTCAGTTCCGACTGAGGAGGGTGAGGTTCTCAGAGAAATAACCTGGAACCGCTCTAACGTGTTCAAGAAAATAAGCATCTGGTGAACTTTAGCAGTGTATTGTTGGTTACAAGTTCCTGATGCTGCATCTCAGAATTGATGGGGACAAAGTAGAAAACCACAAAACTGCCTTCGGGGACCTCGGGCCTTTGGGGCCAAGCCCTGCCTGCTGCGTGTGGCACGTGAGGCATTTCGCAGCCTCACCCAGGCCTGCTGCCCGCATCCTGGAGCCCTCACTGTTCCCAAAATCTCCTTCCCTTTCCCTCTTGTGTAACTTGAATGCATCTGCATTCATCAAGGATTTACTGAGTGCCCTCTTGGAGGGAAACAGAGCAAAGACATTCTCTTCCTCCGGGAACGAGACCAGCACGGGGCCCAAGGATGCTCACTACTGGGCTCCTTCTGAGTGCTGGGTACTGTTCTATCACTTCACCAGGTTAACTTGCTGGATTCTTACAATTTCTCCCCATTTTACAGATGAGGAAACCAAGGCCTGAGAGAAATGGAGAAACTCACCCAGTCCACAAGACGAGCTGGAGGAGAGCCAGGAATGGAGCCCACATGGCTCAGCTCCAGAGCTCAGATGTGGAAGCCAATGAGGGGCCAGAAGGGGCCCCACTCAGGTGCCACTCCATGCCTGGGGCCTCCAGAGCACTGCTTCTCCACTTTTCTGTCATTATACCCCCTGTCCAGGTGCCTATTCAGACCTCTTCTGTCTAATTGCCCCATATGAAATTTTAATACCACAAGAGTACTCTATATCTGCTGCCGTTCTGTGTGCGTATCTGTGTTTGACACATGAAGAGTAAGGATTTTTGGCACCTCAAGAACCAGTTGGCACCTGTTGGGAATGCAAGCCTGGGCTTTGGAACTGGCCCATGGGGCTAAGTGTCACTGGTGAGGGGCCCAGTTGGAGTCAGTATCCTCATCCAGGCCTATAGGGATGGTGGTGATACCCTCAGGGAGTGTGCAGGTCCACTCCATTCAGTGGGAGAATAGATGCAGAGTGCCTGATTCAGCTCCTTGCTCTCAGCTCAACCCAATGCATGCCTGTTGAATGAACAAACATCACATTCTAAAAGGAAGAGATGGGTGTGGTCAGAAAATGAGCTGCTGCTGTAGAGTGGAAAATATGAAGCCAGGGGAGACAGAGAAATCTGAAGGGTACAAATGCCCTGTCCTGAGCATGGATGTTGCCCTGTGGGCAGCCCTACAGTGCACTTTACACCCATTCCTACAGAGCTGGGACACCTGCCCCAGGGCCAGAATGCTCCGCATGGCACAGGCCCACATCCTGATCTGAAAGCTGTCTTCACACCAGCTGGGGATCCTCAAATGTGTGCATGGAAGGTGTCTGGACTCCCCGCACGCCACAGGCTGCCGACTTAGGATGGAAGGCTGGATTTGAGTCATTGTGGTCCGATCAGGGGAGAATGAGGCTCTACCCAGTGAGTTAGGAAAAGATGTGGCATTCAAATGCACACGACCTGCCCCACCTTCCTTCTGCAGGATCCTGAAGACAAAGCACACAGCCATAGCCATGATAGGCGGACAACATCAGATTTGTTGTCAGAAAGCCCTGGGTTTAGATCCCACCTATAGCTCTTACCAGCTACGTAACCGAGATCTAGGAAGCCCATGTATCTATCTTAGAGGTTTATTCACTCATTCATCTATTCCATTACTCATTCAAAATATACACCCATACACAAGCTATACAAAATAAGCAAGCCACAAAGATAAACTGCTGTGTAACAAACGTATTCTATCTACATACTGGTAAGTGCATTGAAAATATTTTAAAAGATATATGAAATGCTATTAACAGTGGCTCCTTCTGGAGTGGGGGATGGAGGACGAAGGGGGAATTTTCTATTTATTTTGTAACATTCCATTCTGCAGGATTCCTTTTACCTTTGGCATGGATCACATTCATACTAATGTACACAGGCACGGGCATGACAGCAGCCTCTGTGAGAGGGCCCCTGGCTTAAATGGGAGAAGACACGTGTTCCTCTCTGCACAGCACGAGGCACGTAAGGAGCTATTTCCTGCCTCCCTCTCCATACTCTCCCAGGCTGCTCTTAGATAAGAGAAGGATTTGCCTAGGTGCAGGAAGAGGCGGGGATAATACTCAAAATGTTTATCAACCATATGGAGTGTTATGAGTTGAATTGTGGTCTCCCCCCCAAAATTCATATGTTGAATTCCTAATCCCCAGGATCTCAGACTGTGACCTTACTTGGAAATAGGGCACTGTTAATGCAGACGTAATTAGTTAAGATGAGGTCACACTGAAGTAGAGTGGGCCCCTAATCCAATATGACCATGTCGTTATAAAAAGGGGACATTTGGATACAGAGACATGCCCACAGGGGAACGCCATGTGAAGTTGAAGGCAGAGATTGGGGTGATGTTTCGACAAGCCAGAAAATGTCAGAGATTGCTGGTGAACCACCAGAAGCTAAGAGAGAAGCGTGGGACAGATTCTCCCTCACAGCCCTCAGAATGACCAACCCTGCCTTGATCTTGGACTTCCAGCTTCCAGAATGGTGAGACAATAAATTTCTGTTGTTTAAGCCACTTAGTTTGTGGTTCTTTGCCACAACAGCCCAAGCAAACTAACACACAGAGCATGAACTGAATATTAGAATGGCCATATGAGGGAGCACCTTCTAATTTTCCATGTTGTACGTAGGTGGTCCCAGAAAAGAGCCTGGAGCATGTCTGATGGGGCGCTAGAGGGGCTTAGTGCAGTGGCTGTTTACCAGCTGCTGAGACAAATTGCCATTTTCAACAACACATAAGGCCACACCAGGTTGAGCCAACCAAACATTACATGGTAGCAAGCCCTGCCGAAACAAAGAGCAGGTTACTCTCAATGCAAAACTCACCGGTAGGCCCCTCAATCCTTGGGGACCCTGTGGCCCTGTGGGTCCAATGTCACCCTGGAACAGAGAGAGGTCACATTATCACAGAGTCGCTGCAAGAAGATGATGGAGGCACCGTTTCAAATGTGGACCAAACTTCCTCAAGTCACCAAGACAACCAACAAACTGTGTCCAGCACATTTCATCATCATCGATGGCCAGTTATTCCAAATATAGACAAACCCATTTCACGTAGATGAGTAAACACACCTTCATTTGTGCACTTACGTATTTACTTGCTTAGACATTTTCTACCTGGTCCCACAAGGGATTTCAGGTAGCTCCATCCTGAATAAGGGAAGCAACCAGGGAAGAGATACTTTCCTGGAGTTCTGTTCCTGATTCGCTCGACAGTCACCTGAGTCCCGTTCTTGCCTCCGTTACCACCGTAAGGAACTCACCGCCCATGTGTACAGCACCTTCCAGTTTGTGAAGCAGTGGCGATTCACTACCATGGCCTCAGACGGCCTTTCAAGCACCCTAGGACATGGGAATAATTCTTTCCACGTTGTGAATGGAAAATACAGAAGCTTGGCCATGCTCCTGCACAAAGTAGACTGTAAAATTCTCCAGAAAATGGGGCTTTCAAGTTGGAAGAGTCAGATAGCTGAGAAGAAGGGAAGAAAGCATTGCCCCACAGCCTGGCATCCTGGGCTCCCGTCCCAGCTGCACTCTGACCTGCTGGGCAAGCTGAACTCAGCCACATTCCTGCTTGGGGAGCTCCTTGCATACCCTCTGCAGTTCAAGTGAAATGGGAGGGATGGGTAGACCAGGATTTTCAAACTGCCCGTTAGGGTGTTCCGGGCACCTTTGGGGGTGGGGCTGGAGAGAGGCCCTGTGCTGGGTCAATGCAGCCGTTCCTCACTGCATGCACAGGGCTCCACATGTCAGCCTGATTTTGTAAAACAGATTCTGCTGCTAAGGAAAAATATGTGAACTAGATTGGATTTCTTCTAAGATCCTTTCCAGGTCCACCAACTCAGGACATCAGATCAGCCTAGAACACAACATGATTTTAGTGCCTCAGATCCTGGGGTGGAGTACACTTCACCAGTGGTTAAAGGCAGGTCCTGCAGGATGCAAAGAGGTGAACATGTGGCTTCCTTGGACCTCAGGACCCTGTGCCCATGCTTCTGACCAAGCACCCACTCCCAGGCAGCCAAGCCGCATCGACACATATCAGACTGCCCTGCAGGATGCCATGTGCAACGGCCGGCCCTCTGTGGGCATGTGAAGTTGGCAGATCCAGAAGCCAGGCTGCCTCTTCCTGCCTCTGACTCTCAGTGCAACCACGAGTAAGTGTCTTGACCTCTCTAGGTCTCAGGTTTTCTATCTGTATGACTAGTATAAAAGATGACTTGTCCTGCCTTGTTCCCAAGACCAAAATAAATGAGTGCAGGTGAGCAGTACAAAGTGCCACACAGCACGAGGTAGTGGTAGCTGTGATGGGTTCATGAGACTGTAGAACACTGGAGATGGAGAAATAATCTGGGAGAGACTCTGAAATGCTGCTTAAACCATCTAAGTCTGGACCCAACAGGTTCATCATTGATACCACCAGATAAATCACGACTGATTCAGCAAAGCCTCCTTATAAACCATATGGCCCAGGTACCAACCCATTAAGCTGGAAGCCCAGATCCCAGAGCCTCCTCAGGATCCAAGGAGGACTCACGCAGCTCGTGGTGTCTCAAGCAGGTGAGACATCACTGATGGATTCCGAGAATCCGCCTACGAGTGTCTCCGCAGTGGCCCCACCTCCCTGGCCCAATTCTGGGTGTCTCTTGGTCCTCCAGGGAAGCACACCTTACACTTTCTCTACAGCCCCTCCTGCAGGCCCAGCCAGACCCCACAGGACATGCACACTTACATCTTTTCCTGGTAACCCTTCCTGGCCAGGGGGCCCCATGGCACCAGGCTCTCCCTAGAAAGGGGAAGCAGAAACAAAAGGCCTGCTGTTAGGGAGAAAGACGCAGAATGCCAGCTGCCTCAATAGCAGTGTCTCTGAGCATCTGGGAGGGAATGACCCAGGGGGATGGCCCACCAGAAGGCACCCCACTCTAGGGCAAGACCCCCTTTCAGGCAGGGTCCTGGCTTGGCATTGAGGTCTGCAGTGCCTGAGTCACGCTGTGCTCTGTGCTGCAGGGGAACACCAGCTAAAGGGGCAGGCCGGCCCGCCTGGCCTTCTGCCTCCTCACCTGCTGACCCACATGACCCCTTCACACCTCAGCTTTCTCTCTGTTACACAGAGCATGGCAGGGGGTCTAACCAGTGGACCCCTGGGGTCCCTTTCTTTGAGGGCATTGGGAAGAGAGGGAAGAAGGTAAAGGACAAGAAAACGGGCATCTGGGATGAACCGATGCTATCCACACATTGGCTCTGGGACTTTGGGAAAATCACCCACACCCTCTAGGCCTCAGCTACACAGGCTGTGCGAAGCACAGCCCACAGGGACGACACTCGACTCCAGCCTGACTTGGTCAAATGGGTTGTGCATCAGTGTCTGGTGCCCAGAAGAAATGTTCAGAAAATCTAGACCAAGATTGGGAGGTGATGCTTCCAATTACACCCACATCTTCTCTCGGGTGACAAGGTAGTGAGCTGGTTGGCACGGCCTGGAGCCCTCTGGCTCTAAGTCCCAGCTCAGGCCATCTGGGATGACCTCCATGAAGAGATGTCCACTTACCCGGGGACCAGGTGCACCAGAATCGCCTGTATGTCCCTTGAAGCCCTAGAAGAAAGAGGATGAAGTTATTCCACTGAAGAGCAGGCTGAGAAGAGGAGAAAGGGCAGCACCTGGTGTGATGGTCCAGCCGAATCCTGACCCTTCTCGCTGTGGCTCATCCAACTCCCTTCACTCAAGACCTGCTGAAATGTGATGGGCCCTGCCCTGTTCCATGTGTGGGCCAGGCCCCGATGCCTCGTGATTGGGTAAGGAGGCCCTTCTTCCTGGCTCACTCTGCAGCAGGAGCTTGTCCCACAAATGTCCTAGAGTGTTGGGGCTTCACTCCACATGTCTCCTGAACTCCCTCTTCCTCTCCTTCCTGATCTCGCACCAGCTGGTTTGTACCTTCTGGGGCCAGTGCTCCCCTTGTAGACACTGCCTTCACCCTGAGTTAGGTCCTGGGGTGCCTTCCTTGTTCCTATAGTCATGGCTGGTCCCATCCAACACCTGTGAGTAGAGCCAGCCCCACAACCTCATCCTGGGCCATAGTGTTGGGCTCTCCCTGTGCAGAACCGCAGCTTGGAGATATGTTACCTGAAGCTCCCCTATAGAGGCTCAAGCCCTATGAGTGAAGAGGAAACTGTTAGCAGAGCTGACGCTATCCTTTCTAACAGCCCAGCCCAATTGTATAATAATCCCCATTTCATACATGAGGAAGCTGAGGCTCAGAGAAATAAAATACCCACCCAAAGTCCCAGAGTTAGAAAGTCATTCAATTTGGACCCAGGCAGGCCTGCCTAGATCCTATTTTCCACTGTTCTCCATGGTCTGTCCCCGGGTTCTGCCCCTGACCATTTGGAAGAGCATCTCTCCAACCCAAGTATCAGGGGACTTTCCCTGCCTGCTGAGACCCAGGGCATTCACAGGAGGCAGACTCCACCTGAGCAGCCCCTGCCTACCTTGCCACTATCAGTGTACCATGGCCCAGGTCTCAATGTCCTCTCCAAGCTGCACACACTGCTCCATTTGTGGTTCCCATAACTGGCCCCACACTTCCACCCTTCCAGACCCTTGTGCATGCTGTTCTGTCTCCTTGGCATGCCCCTTGCCCATTGGATGCATTCCTCTGGTTATAGGCCTTCCTATAATCTTCCTATCTACCAGCCTCCCATCCCAGAAGCCACCATCTCTATCACTCCTCCCACTGTCACTCTTCAAGACCCTCCTAGTGCCTTTGTCATTTTGCATCCTCTCCTTGTATCATTGCCAGAGTACTATTCTGAATCCCCTGCTAGATGAGCCCTTGGACAGCTGGTCCCCACAGTGGCTGCCACAAAGCAACGAATGTGGACTGGGGCTGATGCCTGTGCACACAGGTCAGAGATTCTGGGGAGAACCTTGGATGGGGTCTAGAATCTAATCTCAATTGTCTAACACAGACCCCCGCAGACAGGGGCCAGTGCAGCATGGGCGAGCATTCCCTGCTCATGAGTAGTTAGGAGGGCCCTGCATGAGGTCCTGTCCTACTCCTCACTCACTGAGGGCAGGAAGGGAAGGCGGAGCAGCAACAATGGAGTAGGAGAGAAGAGAGGAAATTCCTGTCTATGGAGCCCCGACCACACGCTGTGCTACATCCTACATCCGTCATATGTGCCCTCATTTCAGTGTAAGAAGTCTTGTAAGATAGGCTTTATTTTCCCCATTTTATAGATAAGAAACCTCCAGCTCAGGCCTATCTACCACACGATAGCAAGTGGTGGGGCCATGATTCAAATTCAGGTCTGTCTGACTGCAAAGCACTCCTCTCCACTGTCACACCAACTCAAGGAGGCAGCCCTTTATGGCCAAATAGGGCCAAGGCTGAATGTCCCCTGGCTGACTCCACCAGGCTCTTCTCTGACCTTGTCTCCTGATTTTATCTCCTGGTTTCAAGAAGCAAATGAAGACCCTCCTGGGGAGAAGACTGTCCTGCAGCCTGGCCATTTGAAGAAAGCTACAGCCTAGCAGCCACTCTGGTGTGGTGGCTGTAGTTGATGCTCTGGAAATGTGTTCTCTACCTGCTTCTCCCAATGGGGTGATAAGAATGTAAGAATGTGTGACCTTCCTTGGCCTCTAGGAGGGAGGCTCTGAGGGACTTCCTGAGCAGCAAGGTGGTACGGTAGAAGGTGAGGCTCCCGCACTCTGGGAGAGGCAGGGGAGGAAGGGGGTCAGGAGCCTGGCCAGGTGAGTTTCAGGTCCCTGCTAATCCCTGAGCTGAGTGACTGTGCATTTCATGTCTCCCCTCTGTGCCTAAGGGTCTTCATCTGTAACTGGGGAAACGGTCCCTGCCCTATTAGGTTGTGGTGGGAATGGATGAGATACTACAACCAGACACAGCCTTGTCACCTGGTGAGCTGTCAGGAAGTGTCAGTGACCAATGAGGAAAAGGAGGAGGAGAGGATGAAGTCATCTCAGATTTGATCCTAGAGTCAACTGCTGTAACCTTGGAAAATTCGTCTTATCCCTTGGTGTCCTAACATCATCATCTCTACAATGAGGATAATACAAATGCCCGCCTGGCATAGCCTTGTGGGATTAATCTACGGGGAGAGGCTTCCTATGCCATTAAGTTCCATGGGGCAGGGCTGACTTGGGAGTCAGGTCTTAAATGGAACCACGGCTCCCCTGTTCCAGCTGTGGGATCCTGGGCACTTTACATCTCTTCCCTGGGACTCAGTTTCCACATCTGTAAAATGAGGGTAGAACCTACTTCGGCAGGGTTGCGTTAAGGATTCAATGAGAGATAAACGGTGCTCTCTGCTGCTCAAACCAGCCCAGTTGCCTTTCCCTGGAGAGGGGCAGGGTCTGCCTGGGTTCCAGCAACTTCCTCAAAGGCATCAGAATTCTAAATACAGCCAGCTCAGAGGCAGAGACCCTGGGTGCTCTCCTCCCACATAATAATGGGCGAAAGCACCAACCAAGGGAGGCACGCACAATGTGCCAGGCAATTGGCAGGGAATTTTGTGTGTTGAGTCTTCTCCTTTAGTACTCACCACAACCCTACTAATGTGGGAGCTATTCTGATCCCCATTTCATAGAAAAAGAAACAAAGGTTCAGTAAGATCTCCCGACCAAGGTCACAAAGTTAATACATGACAAAGTAAAGGCTGAACCCAGGTTTGTCTATCTCAAAGTGCATGCCACTCTGACTCATGCCATGTCAACCAGAGTCTTCTCTCATCTGCCTGGGTCTCTAATCTCTGCCCTCACACTGGGGTAGGATTCTTTACAACTTTTAATCCAGAGATGGGTCATGCCCCAACATGGGTCCCAGCAAAAGGGTCTCCTAGGCCGAAAGGCAGTCACTCTTCCTCCAATAAAACAGGAACCATCTTAAATAAAACCAATCAGTAATTCTGTGTTTTAATCCCCCACAAGAGGTAGTATTCCCATTTTTAAGTTTCTTCTCCTGCTGCAGTCAGGTGAAAAGCAAGGAGATTTAGGAAAAGGAACATTGATTTTTTGGGGTTTTATTTCCTCTTTATTGGATACTAGCCAGGTGAGTTATTGATTTTTTTACAGGAAAACACATTAAGGAAAGAGAACTAGCATTTTTGTCTCCTACTTCTTGCCTGATAATTGGATTTTAAGGTTTTCATTAAAAACATATATTCTTCAGAAACAAATTTAAGGAATTGTGTAAAGAATTTTGAAATTATAAAAGAGCAAAGAATTTAGCAAAAAAACAAAACACCAACAACCCCAAAATACATAGATTGAGTTCATTTTTATAGAAAAAGTGTCTGTGTATGTTTATATGTATAATAGCTTGACAGCTAGATATAGATTTTGATATATAAATGTCAGAATTCATATATAGAGAAAAATGACTGGAAAAAATACACTAGAATGTTAACAGTGTTTTACCTCTGTGTTGCAGAATTATAAGTAACTATTTTCTTCTCTATCACATTATTTTTCTTATTCTTTCTCTTATTATTACCATCATAATTTGTTATTGCTATGCAATGAGAACGGGTTACTTTTATAATTGGGAAAAAAGTGCTTTAGTGTGGAAAGTGTTCAAAACTAAAATTAAGACTCATTTTTAGGTTCTATCATCCAAAGAAAGCCAATTAAAATTATAATTAAATTGTAATTAAAATTATAATAAATAGAACAAAGAAAACTTAGAACAATGATGGCTGCAATTTTGAAAGTAAATTTTACAGCCATGGCACGTGAAAGAACTGAATTTATCACGGAGAAGCACCGTTGTCTCGGAGGAGAGGTGCTTTTGGAATCCACGGTGGGGCAGTCCCAGGGCACCCTACCCACCGTGTCACAGCCATGTGGCTGACGGCTTTATTCTGCTATGAACAACACGCAGACACACACACACACCAGCACTTACGGGGGGACCTCGGGCTCCCTCAGGTCCTGGCAGACCCGCCTCTCCTGTTTTGCCCTGTGAGTAAAGAAGAAAAGAAGAATTTGAGGACAACATTTTAAGGATCTTCTCATTCTTGGCTGCCTGGGTTTCACAGTTTATGTTTCCACAAGCCAGTCTCTGACCACCCTGCCAACTCTTTCCTCAGCCATTTTGGTCCATTTCAGTCCAAACAAATCAACACCATGTACTCCAGCCTATTATGTTCTTGGTTTCCCTGAGACAGTGCAGGCTGCACAGGTGTCGTCTCTGAAGCAATTATTCAGGTGCCCCTGTTTATTCTCAGAAGTGTTCTGGTCCGGATGAGAAATTATGTAGACATTTTTGTTATAAATGACTTTATGCCTGCTTACGAAAACTCTTCATGGCAATTAATAATTATTGCATGTTACAAATGGGGACACTGAGGCTCAAGGAAGTTATAGCTTCATGAAGTTAATAAATGGCAAAGCCAGACTGAATCCCAGCTTTGTGTGACACCCAAAAGGATGCTCTCCTCACCCCAGCAGCTGTGCCTACTGACAGGGAGGTCGTAATTCACCCATCCTTTTCCCCGTTCCAACCTCTCCTAACTATCAAGAAGTTATGGGGACACTTTTTTATTTTTTAAGCTCATTTTCTTTTTCATATTTTGCAAATGCTTCTCTTTTTTTTCTCCCCAAAGCCCCAGTACATAGTTGTATATCCTAGTGGTAAGTCCTTCTAGTTCTTCTATGTGGGGTGCTGCCACAGCACGGCTCGATGACCGGTGTGTAGGTTTGTGCCCGGGATCCAAACTGGCGAACCCCACGCCACAGAAGCAGAGTGTGCACAGTTAACCACTACGCCACCTGGACGGCCCCCAGGACACTTCTGCTATTTGAAAGTCTTCACTACGAGCAGCTTGGGATCGCCCTGGATAGAACCACACCATGAATAAAAGCCAATCTGAGACTTGGGTGTTAAAGTCCAGATGCGGTGGTCAGAGGTGGGGGAGGATGCAGAGGAGCAGGGGAAGGTGGGTGAGAGGGCACATCTGATTGATGGGACGAGGCGGCCGCATGCTGGCCCCGCCTTCCCTGTAACAGGACGGCCAGCCTAGTCCCCCATATTTCCCCCTCATTTTCACAGCTTATAAACCTTGAGGATCAGATGGGGTCCACCAGGGGGAAGGAGAGGGAAAGGGGCATCCTTGGATTTAGAGGAAAAATTACAGAGAAGGAGGATAGGGTACAAAGCTCTGATTTTCAAATTTGTTTGTTTCCTCCGTTTCAGCTTGTCAATTCTATCTTGGTGATTTTGGGGTGTCATTTCCCTTCCCTGGATCTGTTCCTCAGTTGTAAATTCAGGACACCCCCCCCATAGGTCCTTGTGATTGAGGGTATACAGACCTAGCCTGGTTCCTGCCCCACAGTCAAGTGGGATGGCCATCACTGGCCCAAGTTACCAATAGAAAAAATGGTAACAACCAGCAACTGTTGAGGGTTTTCCATGCACCAGGCACAACTTCACATAATCATGTCAATGAGTCCTCACTGTAACCCCTGAGGGAGGCACTATCTTCATCCCTCAGGTAAAATGCTGAGGCACAGAGAGGTTAAGTGATCTCCTCAAGGGCACACAGCTTGGATTCTAATCCAGGCATTTTGGCTCCAGAGGCTCTATACTTTATCTTATGCTATAATTAATGCTCAAATGTTCTTAATAAAAACTATGCAACAGGCAACTCAAAAAGCTGCCTATCCATCTATCCATCTACCCATCCACCCCATCATCTATCCATCTACCTATCCACTATCTGTGAATCCATCCATCATCAATCCATCTATCTATCTATCCATCCTTTTATCCATCCATCCATCCATCCATCATCTATCCATCCATCCATCATCTATCTACTATATATCAATCCATCCATGTCCCTAAAGTATAAGAACTTGAAGGAATAAGTCAAAGTGAAGAGTGGCCACCTAACACCTGTAGCAAAGGGTGCTATTTCCAAGCCACAATTCCTTGGCTCACCCAGGAGAACACCTACAACTTTGCTGTACAGTCCTGCCTGGGCTGGAGGCTGTGAACAGAATGGCCTTCAGGGGTGCTTGACTCTGAGGTGTGGAAGGCCCAAGTGATTCCTTCATCAAAACAGGCTTGTAGTTGATGGATAAATAGCCCAGCCTCCTGGTCCCCTGGCAGGGTTGGGAGCAAGGATTCCAGGCGTATGCATCCCAAACTCTGGGAGGGTCTCCAGCAAGGCTGGGCCCTAACGGCCCACTGGAGGGGCTTACTCCCTGGCCTGCCCCCAGTGGCTTTCTTTCCTTCCTCACTCCATTTCCTCACCTCCTCACTGCTACCTGGGATCGCCTCCCAAGTGCTCCACCTGCCTCCAGATCCTGTCTCCAGGTCTGCTCTCCAGGGGGTCCCTGAGACCACCCATTCCTGTGCCAATTTCCTTCCAAGCAGCTCAGAGAGATAAACGTCAGGATGGTCACACAGATGGCCACAGATTCCAGAATGAACCCACGGCTAAACTCAGGAACGCCCTTGGTGGGAGTCACTGACCCCACCTCTTCCAGGAGAACCAGCCCCCTGATGCCCGACTTACGCTCTACTCACCCAGCACAGGCCTGGTCTTGCATTAGTCTACACGCAGTGCCTGGCACAAGCCTATCTGGAAAAGGCCTTCCATAGACAGACTGAATGAGGACCAGCAGCCTCAGTTATCCTCTGCTGTAAGTGACAGCCTCTCAGGATAACACACCTTCTGCAGAAAAGCTGATCTCCTGCCCTGAAGTACTGAACTCCGGGGTCAGCCTCTAGGGTGTGAGTCCTTCATTTACCAGCTGTGTGACCTTGGCCAGCCTATTTAAGCTCTCTGTGCCTTAGTTTGCTCAACTAGGGCAATAATCCTACCCACACCCCTCCATTGAGTTTTCTGAAGATTACACTGGAAAGTGTGAGGAAGCACTCGGTACCACCGGCCCTAGGTCTGCATGCAGTAGCTGTCAGCCACGGTGCTGATATTTGTCCTTCTCTCTCCCTTCCCACATTCTCAGCCTGGCTACCTGCCATTTGCCCACCGCGGGCAGCTCTGCTGGGCGTCAGCCATCAACGGCTTAGAGGAGCTCGTCCCTTTGCTCGCTGCTGTAAGCGCTTTCATTCCCTCTCAGCAGTGAATTCCGGTTTCAGCATCCAGCAAACAGTGTAAGATGATAGAGACGGTGCTCCCGGCAAGTTGCATAAGACGCAGAATGAGTCATAACCATTTATGACCAACAAATTAAATGGAACATAAACCTCGCTGTGGAAACTTTTATGTAATTCCACGGAATGGTTCTACAGACTCTGCAGTTCTAACCCCACCAGGAGGTAAAACTAGGGCAGAGGGAAAAAGTAACTTCCTAAAATAATTAACAGTTAGACCAGCCTGATGCCTTTAACAAATTTCTCACGTCATTTGATTCTCCGGCAGCTCTGGTGAGTCAGTACTATTATTCTCACTCTATTTGAAGAGAAACTGAAGCTGGGAGATGCATTCTGATTCACCCCAGGTCACAAAGCCTGTATGGGGTGGAGCCAGCACCTGAAGCCAGTTTCTTCCTTTCTTTTTTTTAAAATAGGAATTTGAAAGTCTGACTATTCAAAACTTATACATCATGTTTATAAAATAGTCAAATGAGATCACTATACTTGTTGCCATGAGGCACGTCTGTAAGAGAATTAGAATATTAGGTATGCCACTCAAAAGCCAGTTTCCTCTTCTCCGTTTGTGGCTGTAGTTTTGCCGCAAAATGTTTTTATTTAATTATGATATTTTAAATTTAATTTTATCAATAAGTAATACATGCACATGGCTCCCAAAATTTAAAAGATAACAAGAAAATAGCACACTATGGATTATAAATTTGCCTTCCCGTCCCCATGTCCCTTCTGCTCAGAATCATCCTCTCCTGGATGGCAACTACTTTTACTGGTGCCTTTGGAGTCTGCAGAGTTTATTTATGTAAATGCTAGAAAAGATATACCTAGACCTATTCTTACACAAAACAGGGCAGGCTAAACACAGTGCTCTGTAGCTTTGCCTTTTTGCTTAACAAAACATCCTGGTGAAGTCCCATGTCAGTGCTACAGAATGTCCTCCGTCTTCCTAACAGCTGCTTGGGACCTACAGGGTGCAGCCCCATAGCTAACCAGGCTCCTACTGGTGGGCATTTGGAGAAGCCAGGTCTCTAAGCCCCAGATGCCGCCCGCCACCTTCCCCTCGATACTGAGGCTGTGGAAGGGATTTGAGAAGATAAAAGTGCTTCCAATTACTGAAGAATCATTCTCATCACGGAGCCCTGATCCACAGTCAGGAGGATCTGACCTATCTAAGCAAGGACGACTTTGAGGTCACAGATACGGGTCCATAGAAATCCCCAACACTTCCAACCAACAGCTACCGGGGCCACAGAGCCTTCCTCAAGAGCACTTGGTCTGTCTCACTGTGTGTCCCAGGTAGGTGTCATTAAAGAAAAAACAAACCCAACAACTCTATGCCAGAGTTGAAGAAAGGGCCCACTCGCATCCCTGGAGCTGGCCGGTGCAGCTCAGGTTTTCGGCGGGTGTAACAGGCTTTTCAGATATCAGATCTTGACTCCAGCCATGCTCACCTGCTCCAGTTCCCCTCCCACATGAACAGGATTGAGGCTGCATGGGGCAGGGAAAGAAAAACGTAGAGGAGGGACAGGAGCCCAGTCTCAGGTTCTGATTCAGGCACCAGCCCAGCACGTGACTTTCGACCCATCGTTTCACCTCTCTGAGACTCAGTTTCCTGAGCTGTAAAACGGGGACAGCAGTATTGACTTTGCAAGCTTGTTGGGAGAAATAAAGGAAGTAATGTATATAAATAACTCTCATTGTGGCTAGTTCATAGTAGCTCCCGGACACATAGTAGTTGGTATCGAGATATTACCAATTTGGCATGTAAAACGGTAAGAAATTTAAAGTCCCTTACCGGCTCTCCAGGGGGACCTGGTTTCCCATCTCTGCCCTCTTTGCCTTCTTCTCCCTGGAAGAGAAACTCAAATTAGTTATCTGGCTGAAGATGCTAAGAGGGAAGGAAGGACAGTTTCAGCCTGTCTTTTCGTCCAGTATACAGCTACCTTCACACTTAGCAGCTAAAGGACATTTCAAGAGACAGGATTGGTTAGATTTCCTGGTTTCATCTCCAATACCAAGATTCTGGCTTGGATCTCTGATCTGCAGTGCCTGGCACATGGTAGAAAAGCCATAAATTGCAATAGCATCATTATCATTGCTGTTGATGGAAAGAAACCCCTACTGGACATTTTGAAGGAGTCAGATTTGGGTGATAGATAGGGCCTCATATCTAGATTGAACGCAGGATGAGGAGGAGAGGATGCCAGTGCTGATGAAGATGAGTACACTGAATGACGCTCAGGAGAGCACTTAGCACAACTCCTGGAACACACAAGGGCTCAGTGAATGGCAGCGAGGACTATGTCTGGGTTATAGAAATGCCACGGACATTTCACATTTCCTTCCATGAAATCAAGGTATGATGCCCCCTGCCCCCGCAGTTCCCTCCCAGAAATAGACAACCTCCTGCTCTAGATGGGCAGTATAGGCCTCAGGAATACTAAGAGGTCCTGATATCTCTGAAGATGGGAAAGACAGTGCTGTCGATGATTATGACATCACACAGACTTAAGTCCCAATCCCAGGCCACCTGAACCCGGGTTCTGGGGAAAGAAAGCAATAAGACAGAGGGGAAACTGAGACAAACTGGGCAAAGTTGGAATCCTGCTTGCATCTAATAGGTATATGATCTTAGGCAATTTATTGAAATTCTCAGCTCTTCAGTCCTTTCCCTTATAAACAGAGATGACAGAACTGCCTGGCAGAGTCACTGGGTAGCTCAGAATCGATGCTTCCACTTGCAACGCTCAACAAACCAGCCACTGATAAACAACACCAGCGGTGTGGCTGCTCCTGCTGCTGCAGGAGCTCATGAAATGGTGCACTATTCCTCGTCAGAGCCTTTCACATCAGTGCCTTGGCACTGGTGGGAAGCCACTGTGGACAGTAATCTAAGTTTACTGCCTGTCCAGTCTGCTGTCCCAATGCTCAATGCACACCTGTAACTCTTTATGAATGCTGCTCCTGGCATAACCATGTTAACACCAAATATACCAGATGGGCTGACTCAGAAGCCAGGCTGTATTGACTCTCCTTTCAATTAAGAGTTTAAGTCCAGAAGACATTTCTCCCCAGGCATGGAGCAGTGGGGAGGACTATACAGAAAATAAAGCCAATGCAACATGGTTAGACAGGCTCAGGAGGATGACCAGCAGACTCAGGCTGGAAGCTGAGGCTGGCAGGAGATCCATGGGACTCCTGGAGCAGACACCCTGGCCCTGGAAGCCACAGGAGTGCCAGTTTGGAAAAGGCAGAGGGTTGAGTGTGGCCTATTGAATCACCTGAGAAGGAAATTTGGCTTCCCAAGAGAGAAAGGCTGCCCCTCGCTGACTGTGAGTTGATGAGCGATCCTTTGGCTTCTCAGAGCCTTAGTTTCTTCACCTTTAATAAACAGAGATTCTCACAGCTACACTGCAGGGGGAGGAGTTCAGATTGTAATGTTTATATTAAACGGTCTTTCTTGCACAGTGCATGGTGCAGAGTTGGCACTTAATAAATGGGGAGATTTATTACTTTACTTCACAGAAGCTAACGTTGCTGCTCAATGAATGCTGGCAGAAGGTCACGCTGCATCTCTCACAGCCCCTAGCAGAAGTGGAAGGCACTTATTAACGCTTACAATTTCTTATAGCCAGTCGGTGTAAATATATATACCCATGTCTTCTTGCAGGTGGCTCTTTCTACCTGAAACATCTTCTTCCTGACCCCTGGCAACTTTCTCCGCCTACATAACTTGACCTTGAATACTCATCTCCTGTATCACCTCCCTCTGGTGCCCCTCCTGGTTTGGCTTGGGTGTCGATCCCCTAGGCTCTGATCTATCTATCACATTACGCATCAAGCTCTGAGTAAATAGTTTTTTCCTTTTTTGTTTGGCTTCTCAATGAGACCCCAGGCACCACGCTGGCTGGGACCACAGCCAGGTACGTCTGGTACCTCAAATGCTGGCACAGGTCAGGAGCACTCTGCTCCTTCATGCATCACTCACTCCTCCTGTCCTTCATTCAGCCCAGATTTAGGAAGCACCTACTGGCCGCAGTGCTGGGGAGGGTGTGGGTGAAGGTGGAAAAAAATCAACAGGAATTTATGGCTGAAGATCTTAAGTGTTGTGAGGGGTCAGGAAGGGAGAGCGCAGCTCAGGTTCCTACCTACCCCTCTGGGGAGGCTCAAGGACGTCTCCCCAGAGAAAATTATGTCTAGCCGAGACCTCAGGATGATCAGAGGAATGGGGCTGTGGTGAGGACTGCACGCATTAACATAAAGAAAACTCCTTGCACAGACCCCTCCATGTGGTGAGCACAATGTACTTGAAAGCTATTATGATTCTTATTGCCCAGGTAGATGAAGAGGAAGAGTTTCCTAGATCGGAAGGATTTGTGGAAGGAAGGCAAAGTAGTTTAGAGTGGCCAGGAGTAAAGGGTGTGAGTGGGGTTGTAGTTAACGAGGGCAGGAACGAGAAAGAGACAGACAGGAAAGCAGGGTCCATTCTTGAGCTGCCAGGGAGGAACTGCAGAGTCTTAGCTTAGGTCTGAGGACAGTAATGAGCAGAAGGGAGTGACGTGATGGGATTTGCACTGTACACACATATATACACGTACCCACACATATGTGCATGTGTGTAGAGAGACAGAGATGAAAATACTATTACATAAGAAAATAACAACAAACATATGCATGAAAGAAGAATGAGACTAAGATTGACTCCGCCAAAAATTTAGTTGGCTTTGGGTAGTGACTATTTTTCCTCTCATGTTCTATAACACACAGAATTCCCCTAGTAACCATGCCTTGCTTAACAATGGTGAGATATATTTTCAGTTGCTTATTTTTGTAGTAGAGAAACTGGATTTTCTTTTAATGCCACTTACTGGGATTCCAGGTAATCCAGATGGGCCTTGGGGGCCAGGAGGACCTTCTTTTCCCTAAAAGATCCAATACATAAAAATAACATTAAGTCTCTCAGACCAGCTTTTCTGGAAGTAAATGGTCTCACACAGAATTTCCTTCTGGCTTGGAAGGAGTCTTTGGGGAGAAACAATGAGTGATTCTGTAGCCCCACTGCTTTCCAGGCATTGCCTGCTCCCAGGGCCGGGGGCTGCCCTGAGCACAGCATAATTACACCAACTGAAGTGCAGACTAGGACTCATTTTGGTCATATTACCCAAACTCAGAGGGAACTGGAGATTGGAAGGTGAGGTGGGAAGAAGATCTTGAGATTTTGGGGTCCACAAGACCTGGGTCCAGACCCAACTTTGCACTTTGTCCCCAAACTGCCTGAGACTCAGGTCCCCACTGTACAGCATAGACCACAGCACCCGGGGGTGCTGTGTACACAAGACCCAACACAAGTGAAGAGCTGACCAGGGAGCTTTATTATTATCGTTGTCTTGTCCAGAGGTTTGTAAACTTTGTACCATACACCAAAAGTATCTCTTTTCTCCATGAAATAGACCTTGTGATTTGAAAGACTATTTACCAAATTGCATTAATTACTACTTCATTTCCTGTTTTACTCACCAAAGACACACATTACTGTCAACCAGCACTTCTAAATCAGTATGAGGTAGTCAGTATCATCACTCGTATTCTGATGAGCACTTTTATATCATCCTGTGTCTCTACTGTGAGTATTTAGAGGTCCTGACAACTTTATAATCTCCTGCCAGTTTTTCTTTTATGATAAGATACTGATGCCAGGTTTTACATTCTAATCCACATGCCACACAAAATGAGGTATTCTTAAGGGTTATGATTTCAGCCTCTTGGAAGAAAAGCAAAAGCAAAAGTATTTTGATATCTATTTCAGATTTATACAGATTTTATATATTGTCATATAAAAACTGTCCAATGAGGGACCCAAAACATACTTCCTTTATTAAGTACTAGTTAAACTCAATAAAAACTCAATAACTGAGTTTTATTTCCATATCAGAAGAAAATGAAAGACATCAGTAATGCATTGTTAAGACATCGAGAAATTTTTTTATAGACCTTTGGAAACCAATAAAGAATAGACAATGTTTTAGGTTTACTATAGGTTTGTTAAAATATTTTCTCAAAAGGATTTAGACTCTACATTCATGTTGAAAGGTTACTGTAAATTTAAAAAAAGAATGCTATGTTTATTCATTTGCATTGATAAGAATTTGGCATCACCTGCATCTCTATCATCTTATGTTGCATGATATTTGAGATTGCCTAGACATGTTGCCACTTAGACCAATGCAAAATAGTAACAACAAAAAACCAAAACATTAACCTGTGCCCACATCAGAACACCTACAAACACATTAACAAGTGGATTCTTTTTCTGAACTTGGAACAAATATTCAATCATCATTAGGGATTCTTAAATATTCATAATAGAGCTTCCTGGATTCCTTCCTGCATGCTTATTGTTCCAAGGACCCTAGTATGGAAACACTAGTGATCTAGGACAGGGGTCAGCAAACCCTGGCTCTCTGCCTAGTTTTGTAAATAAAGTTTTATCAGAACACAGTCACACTGCTAGTTTACATAGTGTCTATGGCTGATTTCACTTTACCACATCAGAGTTGAATATTTGCAACAGAGACCATAAGGCCCACAAGACTAAAATGTTTATTATTTAGATCTTTTTCACCCCCATCAGATGAGTTAAAGATTGAACAATGAGTGAGTATGTTTGTTCCTAAACCTGTTTGCACCAGTTGTTATTTGCTATGGAAATTATACAGTTTAATTATTCATTATGTAATTCAATAAAATTTAGGTGAATAAAGAGAAAGAATGACCTTTTTACACAAATTAAGTTAGAATTTTGAAAATATTGAATAAATATAAGTCACTCGCTATCTAGATAGCTAGAAAACAAGATAGCTATAAATGATTAGCAAACAACAACAAAAAATCCTAACAATCTAGGATTTTAAATTCGTATGGCTTCACAGGTGTTGTCATATTCCCAAACCACTTTTTTTAGAAATGCAACAAATATTAGGTGGCTGGATGTTCTTTTTACAAGAACAATAACAAGGGACTCCCTTAATGGGACCCAAAGTCAAAGTAAAGGTTTTCATTCTGTGTCAAAAAGATTGGCAAATGGTTTATATAATTTAATTCAAAATACAATGGAAATGTTTTAGATTTGTATGTATATATAAATTTTTTACTATACCCCATTTAACTTTTTTATTTCTGTTTTTTAACTACCAACATTCATTGTTGGGGCTAAGATAACTTTGACTATTTTCTGGTTTGTTGTTTACGTGAAATATCAGAACCACGGACAGCTTCAAGCACGTCCATAACTTGTCACAAGGTCCCAGGACAGAATCAATGTCTTATTTAATATGGTTTAATTCCTAGGAATGTAACAATTTACATCTGAGCTTCACATCTTATTCTCCTTGGGCAAACAGTCCATTAGTTTTTATCCGGGAAATCTTTTGCTGTCTGAGAATCAATAAAAAGCTGCCTGCAGTATATTTTATATTTTATTCATCCTGGGACTTCCGAGTAGCCTGCTTCCAAAGAATTGGCCAGATGATGATCATAAAAAGAACCATGTGGCTGTTATTCTTCAATCTGAACATCCCTCCAGCCCCCAACCCTGATCATCCCACACAGAGGTCAGTGTAAAGTAGCAGAAAAAATACTGAGTTGGGAGTTTTTTGATTGACTTAACTCCAAAATTGGATATTAATTTCCTGCATGACCAAGACCTAGCCCCATAGGACTTTGTCCTCCTTGTCTGATGAGGAGAAAGTGGTCCTAAGTGATCCCTAAAGTGCTCTTGACACTATAATCCAGAAATACCAGGGCAGGGTTGACCTGGTTGTTAGCCAGACTTGGAATACGACACTGACATTCATGTAGACCAGGATTTGCACCAGGCTCTCACATTTTCTCATCATGTGGCCCTGAACTGGTCATTTGACTTCTCTGATTCCCATCCCTTCCTTATTTATAAAACAGAGATAATAATTCAGGACATTTATAAGTAATAGGGCAGTCAGACGAGATAAGGGAAGTTAATGTACTATGTATTCCTTTAAGTGAATATGCATGTAGTGTCTATTAGTACAATGCCTGCTAAACTGAGGTTCACCCTTTGCTTTATGGTATTAGAACTAAGAGTGGTTCTGGCAGCCTACGCAATGAATATAGTGCTGATTTTTTGGAAAAAAGCCTTGTGTTTAAGCGTCAGCTCTACAAGTTGTGGTTCCAGGACCTAGATCTGTGACTTCCCCTTACTTAACTCCACTCTGCCCTTTGAACAATTGGATAACAACAGCTACCTCCTGCCTGACATGTCACCTTGTGCATACCATAGGCGCAGGGTGGGTTAGTTCCAAGCCTTTCCACTGCCCCATACTTGTTCAAAGAAGAAACCACACTGACAAGAAATTTAGAGGTGGGCCTAAGCCTTGGGCCTGTTTAATTGGTTGTAAACTGAATTCTAGAATCACAGATTGCCAGGTCATTTCACCCAAACCTTTATTTTAGAGGAGAAGTAACTGAGACTTGTTAGAAAGTGGTCCCTCCTGTGGTTTCACTGCAAGGCTAGTAGTGAATAGAACCTCAAAATGAATGAGCCATGCACAGTAGGGAAGCACAGGGCTGGGCTGGCAAACGCTTGGGGTTCTAAACACAGACTGAAGGCAGATCGTGTCCATTGAGGGACTTACCGGTGGTCCTTGGATTCCTGGTGGTCCAGCAGCTCCTGCAATTCCACCTGCTCCCTGAGGATGACAAAGCAGAAACCCAGTTTGTCATATATATGAACAGATGTCATTAGCACCTCCTTTTTGTGCATGAAGCAATCAGTGCACAGATCTCACATCCTGTGCCCCTCCTAGCTGCCTGAACCATAAGTATTTCAAAGGTGTTTCTGCCTTCCCCATCAGGTTGGGCTAGTCTCTGAGAATAAAACAATGTTGGGAGGACAGGAACCACATTTCAGAAAGGGCCAAGGCATTCACTAGCTAGTCATCACTAACACAACAGTAAATGGTCTCACTGCAGAATGGACATTTTCTTCTAATTTCAGGGAACACTTAGGATAGAAAGCAAAAACTGAACAATTGCATTTATCTTCCAGGGAGATAAAGAAGGCAACTGCTTCTGTGAACTCAGGGATGAAGAAAGAGATGCAGAGATGGATATATGGAAGGGGAGTTCTACACTGGTAAGTAAGTGGTACAAAGTGAGCCCCAGACGCACTCTGCCTTAGGGCTCTCGCACATGCTGTTCCTTCTGCCTGAAACCTAATCCCCCATGTGTCAGAGCTCATATCCTCCTCTCCTCTGTGTCTTGCCTCAGCTATCAGCTTCTCAGTGAGACACTATCTGCCTACTAGATCTAAAATTGCAAGCCCCTGTTGCTCACAACCCCTTTTCTGTCTTTATTTTTCTCCATAGCACTTGCTACCATCTGACATCCTTGTGCTTATTGACTTATTTGTTTATTGAGAACTGAAACAGTGCCTTGGAGACAGTGAGCATTCAATCAATATTTCTTGAATAAATGAATTAATTAGGAACTGGGCTGGCTGGGTGAGAAAGGCAGAATTTCTTTAGACTAGTTAATACATTGCCTCTTACTAGCTTGGGTCAAGTCATATAAGATCTCTAAGCCTCAGTTTCCTTATCAGTAAAAGGATAGAAAGTGATATTGCCCATACCATAAGGAGTAAATGAGGAAATGCCTACAACGTGCTCAGCACAGAATAGAGGATCTCGGCTAGGAGTGCACCCTCTTAGAGCCAGAGCTCCTGGGTCCATGTCCTGGCTCTCTACAGACTAGCTGTGCATCCTGAGGCAAGTTGTTTTACTCCTCTGCATCTCAGTTTCTTTGTAAAATGGAAAGATGCCATCTATTTCACTTGAGTTGTTGAGAGAATTGAGTAAGTCATATATCTGAAAAGTTAGCCAGCACTGAGCACATACTAAGGATCCTCCATAAAGAGTTCTCCTTTATTGTAAGTGCCGATGACAGTGTTCTTCTTCTGTGTGTCTACTGGCCAGCCCACGATCAAGGACACTGCAGATAGTCAATAAATATGGAAGAACAAACAAGCAAGCTCTCACAGTACTTTATTGATACCTTTCCAGCAGTCATTTAGTTATTTCACATACGTTTACTGAGTGCCTATGTTGTACCAGGTGCTAGCAAAGTTTTAGAGATACAGAAATGGCTACCCCATGATCTTGCACCTCAAGGAAATTTGATGTAGCTATAGAAGATATATCTTATTTTCCGTGTAAGACAAATCCTGGGGACAAGATGCAGCCTGATTTGCCTCCACTTCTTCCATTAGGTAAAGATTCAGTAAATGTTCACAAAATAAAAGGATATTTATAATATTTTTTAAAAATAGCCTAAGGTTCATGCTTCCCTGCACCTGGGCTGCTGCAGGGGAAAATTACACATCTAGCCCAAACCTAACAGATCAATGCAGTTCTACTCCAAATCTGGATTCTTCTACGTAATTTTGCCAAATGCTTCTGGCACACTAGACTCTGGAACCTACTAAGCTGGAATTAAATTTCCTACTGCAGTTGGGAACAGGGTAAGGACTTTATCTGGAACAAGGATGCTGACTGAGCACCATAAAATAAATTCTGAAAGGCGCTTTGTCTGCTTGGTATCCATATCTCTTGGTACCTTGGACAGGTCCTGATATATACTAAACACACAAAAACAATGCATAAATGACCAGGAGGGTTAATTTCCTGCTCTGAGCTGCTTTTGCATGACAGACTGCTGAACCTGAATGGGCAGCTGACTCAGCATCCATTCCCAAAGGCAATTAACTGTAGAAGGCATGACACAAAGTAGAAGTTCCATAAACATCTGCTGAGTGAATTGAAGGCATTCATCAGTTGGAGACAGACAAGCTGGCTTGGGATTGTGATTATTTCTGAATCTCAGATTCATCATCTAGCACAAGAATAATAAGCCAGGAGCCATTTCCCACAGTGGTCATAGAGTTCTATGTTCCAGAAACTTCCAGTGAGAAGAGAACATGGTTTCCTTTGCATTGGAGATGTGTCATGGGCTTTGGAACTACCAGGGTGGGGTGGGGATGGGGCTTTAACCCAACATTCATTTTCTGAGTCCTTCCGCTGTTAGGTGGCACAGGGAAGCTAAAGTCATCATTATATGAAATTATTTATGAATGAACTGTTTTTAGCTAAAATGAGTTCCCTCTCAAGTGTCCCTCCTCATTTAATGCTAATGCCTTTCCCCACTTCCCAAACTATTGCAATCTGATCGTTTTTGCTTTTGTTGATTGTCAGATGCTACAAAACCAAGTAACATATGCAAATACAATGCAAAGCAATTTCCTAAGTGAAATTACACATTTTAAAACAAATGCAGAATTTCATGAAGTTAAACGACAGCAAACTGATCAATCCCATACAAAGTTGTACACAAATGTGCACATGGCAAAGTTGCAACAGTTAAAGATTGAGGCTGAGAAATTGAAAAGGATGTTAACAGCAAAGGCACTGGAGGGGGTTGTGGGGGTAAATTGAGTTCAAAGATTTAAGGCAGGTTCTCCGGAAAACTGGGAAAGCTTTAATACTTTTGTAGGTGATTTACCTTTTATGAGTTTGCTGTAAAAGTCAATGGTGAAGTGAAAGATGTTGTTTCATGCTCTCATATGATTTTTTTGAAAAAATACATTTAAAGAAACTTGATTTATTCTGAGAATTAACACACAGTTACAATCAGAAGTCAATCAGAATGGTATTTTGGAATTCAGAAGACAAGTAAGCTTAATTTCACGCATTTTAACTTCATGATCTTAACCAAACCTCTTTTTCAATATTTATTATGACAAGTTGAAAAATGAACAGTTGAAAATAGTGATAATGACTAATAATAATTTGTCATTATTATTATTGTTATTGATTATAGTAAATTCAGGAAAATCTGGGATTATATAGACGCTCTATGATTTCCAGAGCCTGCCACCATGGGACAGGCTCCTATGGAATAGGGAAAGTTGCTTCTACATTCTTTACTTAAGATTCCAACCTTGCAATTACCCCAGGCTTCCCATTTCCCAAGCTGGATGAAAACGAATAACTCAAGCCCATCCATCCCTGCCAATCACCCCAGCCTCAATAGCATTCTAGTGGCAGTGACCATCAACACCAGTCAAGTCCCTCTGCACTCTCCCCACATGTCCCCAGGACCATTTTCAGCTCACCCCTGGGAACCTTTCAGGTGTCAGCCCATTCCTTAAAATGAGAGGCAGGTCCAGCGTGACACCATCTCCAGTGAGTATGGAAGAGTTCAAATGTCAAAGCCAAAAGAGGAGATTAAAAATTATTACTTACTGGTGGCCCAGGGTTCCCTGGGGGCCCCATGAAACCTGGAACTCCAGGGTGACCCTAGGAAAACATGAGAGCCAATTCTTTAAAATAATTCATAAAAAGCTTTCATTTTGTGCAAATACTAAATTTCAGTCAACAATCCAGAATCTACAGTCCAACTCCAATAACAATTTTGGGTAAAGATATTGACAACAAAAAGAGCTTTTTAAATATATATCACTGGTGTTTCAACAGGTTGAGACAGTATCTGACAATATTTACAAAAACAAATTCTATGTTGAAAGTGAATTTGCTTCAAAATAATATCAAGGGAGAATGTGTGGGGGAGGTGGTTGAGGATATAGATGAAAACAAGAGTGGCCATAATAGCTGAAAGATATTGTGGCTAGGTGATAGGGGGTTCTTCTTATTATATTCTCTTATTTTTATGTGTATTTGAAGTGTCCCATAATAAAAATTTTAAAACAAATAAATATATACACACATACAATGTATGCTCACAATGGAAATTGTTACGTTGACTGAATTATGGCATCCATACTATGACAATATTACGGCAATTTTAAGAAAGAGATTCATGTGTCTGTGTGGAGAGGAAGCTGTGTGCATTTTAGAATGAGCTAAATCAGTTATGGCACAAAGTGTATTGCATCTGACATTTAGTTCAGTACAACAGTGTTATGAAACCAAACAAACCACCATGAAAGGAAGGATTTCCCTGCCCTGACCCTCCATCTCCTGCCTCTCGAAAACACAGCTACAACTTTCAGTGTAGAGTGCATTGCCTTTGACAGCTCATTCTTACAAGAATAATCCAAACACATCTTGCTTTTCCAGATACAGATGGAATTTTAGCTGAGTATGACACTAGGACCTTGACTATAGCTCTTATCTCTCTGCCTCTGGATTACTTGCTCACAAGTTTCTCTCCCTCACTGAAGTGAAAGACCCGTGCATTTAGGGATTTGCCCGTTACTCATTCTGGATCTCAGAGCCTGGTGCAGAGACCAGCATGGAGCTGACTTACATGAGTATTGACTGAGAGATGCATAGAAGAGTGAGAAGGAAAGGGGGAGGGCAGATGAGAGAGAGGAAAGGAAAAGAAAAGAGGAAAAAGAGGGACAGCAGTGAGCAGAAGCATGATAGCCAGTGTAAATGGGAGAAGGGCTACTAAAGGCTATGTGGAGACTGCAGAATCAGCCGGTAGCACCAGATGGAAGATGATGGGGAAGCAGTGTTCAAATCCATAGAAAGACCAGCCTGTCATCACTGGCACCATCTTACTACACATTTGGAGAAGTGGTCCAGCGGGGCTTGATGGCCACTGGGCATAGAAGGGGCTTCTGTGAAGCATTTCCACTAGCACCATGAGTCACAAGATAGAAATGATGGGAGGGTGGAGGAAAGAAGGAGACATTTTGCAATAAATGACTACCATTTCAGTGAACAAGAAGCACTACAGGTAAGAGTCTAAAAGAAAAAAGAAAACAGAAAGCATGCTCCTCAAATAATTGGAGGAGAGAAATGCGACAATGAACTAGAATAATCAAGATAAAAATCATGAAAATGCAATTAAAACAAAAAAAGTCCTACTGCAGGCAAAGAAGAGACAAGAAATGATGCCAGAAATGGTGGAGTGAAAGTTACTGAGGAGAAATAGTGACGCTTCTTTAGGGTGAATGGTTCATTATAAAGTGAGTTTTTACCTGATCACCTTTCTGTCCAACCTCACCGTCTGCACCACGCTCTCCTTTACTTCCCTTGGGAGAAGAAAAGAAAGAAAATTACTGGAAATTTTGTTAGAACTATATTGCAAAAGAAAAACATTCAGATGCATTCCTTCATTCGTCCATTCATTCATCTATGCATTCACTCACTCATTCTTCATCAATCTCTTATCAAGTTCATGCTGAAGCCAAGCATGGTCAGCAGATAGAAATAATGAGGCCTGGTTGTAGAATTGTTGGTGGGTTAGCTTAAATGGGTTGTGGGGTTCTGAATGGGGGGCAGTAGAAAATGGAGCCGGGGACACAGGCAGACTACTTCATTGAGAGCCTTCTAAGTCAACCCTTGAATCTGGATTGAGTTGTAGGCAATGGAAACCATTAGAAGGATGTCTGACTGCCCTAGGTTTCAGAAGGGTTCCTCTGGCTGCAGCTTTGGGTGGGCTAGAAGGTCTGGGGTGTAGAAAGGAGGAGCAGTTAGGAGGAAACTGGGATGTTACAGGTGTGAGAGGGCATTGTAGTGTCCATGGGCATTGCAGAGAAGGTGGCAGTGAGGAAGAGAGAGAGGTTGAGAAGGTGGTGGACAGGGGCAGAACTGCACAGTCGGCTGTGGCAGAAGACTGTCCCCATACATATGCTCCTTGCTTCACCCCTTACTAGCTGTGGGATCTTGAGCAAGTCACAAACTCTGAATTCTAGGGTTTTTCAATCTACAAAACACAGAAAATAATGATGCTTACCCCACGAAACATAGGATGGGTAAAATCAGGTAATACATGGAAAACACTTATCATAGAGCTCAGAACACAGTATGAGATGAATAAATATTAGTTATAATTCTTATTTTTCATTATTTTGTATTTGAATCCTGGCTTTGTCATCTACCAACTGTGTGTCACTGAGCAAGGTGCTTCAATTCTCCATTTCCTTACTTCTAAAATGAAAATAAAAATAACAGTATCTTTGGCACAGGGTTCTTGTGAGGATTAAAGGACCTAAAATCTACAAAGTGCTCAGATTAGAGATAGGCTCAGTGTTAGCTCTCAAAAAACATTAACTATCGTCCCTTTCATCATCATTATCACCATGATCATCATTGCCATCACTACCCTCATTGTAACCATCATTATCACCAGCATCACCATCACTACCATCACTAATATCACCTTCAGCATCACCATGATAATATCATCATCGTCATCATCACTATCATCACTACCATCACTAGTATTACTAACCTCCTCTTCTCTTCTCCATCATCAACATCACCACCTCCATCATCTCTATCACCATCATCATCATAACCATGGTCACCAACACACTCATAATATACAACCTACCAAAAATATTTTTTACAGACTAACCCTGAAAGTAACATTCCAAGGGTCCAATCTCTTTCGGTTGTCACCTATTCTGGTTCTGCATTTACTGTGTTAACAAATGTATTTCAGTAAAATGTTATTAAACAGAAACATTCCGGTTCCTTTAAAATAATGCATTATTCAGTAAAATAAGTCTCTGGCAGTAAGTCAATCTTGGCTCTGATTCCAGGTCTGTCTCCCTCCTCTTTGCATCCTTGAGTAGATCACATCCCCTCTTTGCTCTCAGTTTGTTCATCCAGTAAATAAAGAATGGGGATGGAGGGGTGGGCGGGCGGAGGTCAATCTATGAGGCTCCTTCCAGGCCCAGAACCCTACAGTTCTCTCATTGAAACACCAAGCCCAGCCCTTTTTCTATTCAGACTGTTGCACAACCTCAGCAGTTCGTTGATGATGAGGACTACAGAATAACACTCTCCGCCTGTCCCCAAGGTATATTGGGAGGGGTAGGCTGAGCTAATGCCTATAAAGTGCCAAGTGCCATTGTGTAGAGGAGAAACACACAGGTTCAGAGGCGAAGAGCATTTGTTCCAACATTTTTGCATGTAATTATTTTTACTGTCTTTAAATCTATAAAGCCAGCACACTGTCTGCAGGCCACTTTACAATATCAATGAGATGCAGTGACACAGAATAGCACACTGCTCCCCTCACATTTAGGACAACTGCCTGACAGGTAAATATTTTCCTTTCAAATTCCAGTCCTCAGTCTGGGATTAGAGTGGTTTCAACTCTCGTCTCCCAACAACTAAAATGTCAGCAGCTCAAGGATCTCCACAGTTGTCCCTGTCTGCTTCTCCACGGCAGCTGAGGATCAAAGCAAACACAGCCACCCCCAAACCTGACTCACTTCCTTCCAGAAGAGAGGACTGACATTTACAGAGCACCTACTCTGCCGGGCACTCTGCCGGGCTTGCCGCATGAAATCCCATTTCGTGTATCTCTTTGTTTATATCCTGAGCTGATACAAAAAAAAAAACCCAAAAAACAAAAAAAAAACTTAATATGTCTATGTTATCCAAAGTATCCAGTAAGACTACTCTTACTGTATGAGGTATGGGTTATTATCAGGACGTACAGATAAGAAATCTAAAGGCCAGAGAGGTTAAGCCATTCTCCTGAGGTCACACAGCTAATAAAAAACAAAATTTGGCATGTAATCCAGACCTGCCTATCTGATTACCAAGTATCCAAGCTGCCTCTCCCTGCCCAAATTACTTTCCTGGCAATTTTTCTGGGCCATGATACCATGTTCCACTGGTTTTATAATGGAGAGCACTGGGTTTCTAGCCTGGAAGCCGGCCGAACCATGCTGACCACATTCTGGGAATCTTTTTATGCAATGAGGATACAGCAATCAACAAGACAAGATGAGAAACCAAAGAGAATGAAACAAAATCAACCACCACCGCCTGCCCACCTGGAATTTCTATTCTCTGGAGATTACCAGTTTGTTACTTTGTGAGCTCATCTCTCTTCAGAACAGGTTTACTGAGGCTCGGCTGTAAGGGTCTAATTTTTCCTGTTGAAAATAAGGGAAGAGACTCTCCCCATAACCCCTGTTATTAGAGCATTTACTTTAGAAAACTTGTCATGGTGAGTGTTTTTTCTGTGTCTTCTGTATGTAAATCCTTGTAAAAGCTAAATGAGCCTTTTGCCAGTTCTAGGACCCAGGAAAATCTTTCTCGAAGACCTGGAGCCGTCTCTGTGAAATGTAATCATCAAGGAAGATAGCACCCATCTCCCAGTCTCTGTGGGAATGTGGGAGCCTAACTTCTTCAGGACACCTTGCTCCAAACCACAAAATTACCTCCTGCCACAACGATGTGAGAAATTCGTTTTTCTTTTTATAAAACTAATTAACTAACTCAGACGGGCACCCCAATTACCAGGTAGTTTAAGGATGAACACGTGTGACAAATGGTGCTGTCAGGTCTTCTTACTTGAGGACTACTGATTGGTTATCTTGAGGACGTGTATGTAATGGGTCACAGCTGCCTGGCTGTAGTGAGGGGTGAAATTTCTTTGTCTCGGCCATCTCTTGGCAGCTTGCCTGTGGTGCACATCGCCTTCTGGATGAATGCTCGTTCAATAACAAAACTATTTTCCTTCTCTTCTACCTTTGTGGAGAGGTTTTCTGGGTTGGGAAAAGATGTTGTTCGGTTTTAATTATATTTCCTCAACACCATCGTGTGCTAAGCACAGAATGTAACAATTGTTCAGAGGTGATGTTCATACCAGGGGCTCCTGTAAGGATGCTGGTCTTTGTGAATCCATCAAACAGGCAATTCTCTCAAAGGACTTACAAACTGTAGAGGGCAGGACCTAAATGTTCTCAAATTAGTAAGTCTCTGCTACTCTCAGAACAAGCCCTATCCCTGAACTTTTGCACGTGGTTTTTCTGCCTAGAATACATTTCCCCAAGGATGCCTGGCAAATCTCTGCCTCACTTTCCAATGCAACTAAAGTCCTACCTCCTCCAGGTGGCCTTCACAGGGGAGCCCTTGCCCCATGATGTTATTTTCCTTAAATTCATTTACTCTTCTGACAATTTTTCAGAGGTGTTATTAACCCAAGCAGAGCAACAAGCATGAGGACCACTTCCAGTTATGTGTATCCAATGCTTCCTACGTGCTGGGCACCATGCCTAGTGCTCTGCAAATGTTTCCTTGTTTAATCCTCACATCCTCTTTGTGAGATAGGCCATAAGGTTCTTCTTCTCCAGAAGAGGGACCTGAGGTTCAGAGAAGTCAAATAAACTGCAGAAGTCTTATTATTAATAAGTGAAATTCACTCAGCTAGGAAGATGCAGAGCCAGTCTGGGAAACCATTGATGTTCCAAGCCCAGACTTGTGCCCACCACTCTCGGTGCCCTCCAGCCCAAGTCTGACTTCTCTAAGAGTCACCACCTTGTAGATCTTCTCCAACACAGCATCAGGCCCTGGAAGGCATGGCCCATATCTGACCCATGTCTGTACCTCCTGGCTTAGAAGGGAGCTTTTCAAGGGGATGTGTGCTGAGAATCTTTCAGGATTGAGGCAGCTATGGGTGAAAAGAGAATTCTGCTCCTGGCAAGAGGATGGACCAAGAGGTTCTCAGTGTCTTTCTGGGCAGGATGGGATTCTATGGCCTCTTCTGGCAGTTCTAACAGCAGCAGAGGCGGTATTATCTCTGCCTCTCCAGAATCATCTAGAACCTCCCAGTGTGGCTACTCCTCATTTATTGTCTCCAGTCCCTACAGTCTCCATCAGCTGATTGTTGGACACATGAATGAGAAGGAAACCAAGTGCTTTTCATGGAGGATAGAATAATCAACCTTTCCAACGCAGAAGGGGCTTTTACGTCTGACTCTGCAGAAATACATGTTCCCAGGGTCATCACTCTGATTACCATCTTGCTTCTTCTTCCTCCTCTCCATGGATTGTAATCACGACAGCAGCCACTATCTCTAGACCCTATCCCTTAAAGTCAATGTTTTATGCAGTTTGAAAGCTCTACAGCAGAGCTCCATAATTGACCATGGCATTAACCTCCCCAGCCCAGCTGCCAGAGAGAGCAGCTGCAAATCTGTAAGGTAAATCTCGGGGAGGCTGATCTCCCTAGGCTGGATCACAACTGCATACAAACAAGCGCACAAACCCTCTTGATGATGCGTGT